ACTTGTATTCTAATCTGGTACGAACCTAGCCTACTCTACACTCTGCTATCACTGTGTAAAGTGCCGCAGGAAATAAGCACTTTGTTTCCATTTTGCTGGTATAAAGTGATTTTAAAAATAACGTGCTTTTATGCAAGTCATCTAATAACGACGCTTTCAATATTTTATTACAGTACGAACGCGGTATTAAAATTATATCGAACTACTACATAATAGTTCAAATTCAGAAAGATTTATATTCAATTCGGCGATTTTACAAATAATTTAAAAATCTTTTATAGACACTTATTATGTACGCATAAGATAGTAAGCCCAATGAAGACTAACATTGTCTTAAGTTTAAATCCTGGCTTTACAGGATTGCAGCTGGAGAGATAGGAATATACGGACTATCCTATATTTATTCCCATTTACAGTTTATTCACAAAGAACTTTAAATTACTACTAAAACCTAAACAATATTGCAGTAACCGGACTTGAATATTCTTAACACAAACTAAAGGAAAGTCCAATTAAGTTACCGGATTAGAAACCCTCTCAGAAATATGGACTAGCTGGTAATAAATTAGGATTCTCCGAAGCCAGCTAATGTCCAGAGACCAGAGTTCTGAGAAGGCACCCCGGGAACAACTCTAGGTTTCTCTAGGTCTATCTAGGTCACCCGGGCTGTAAGATGCATCGATCTAAGCTGGGCCGTTCATCTCGACATACGTTTACAGTACACGATTATGTACGCTAGTCTGTTTATTTACGTACTCAAGTTATTAAAATTTGCATGAAGGAATACACATACTCGTAGGTACGCATGTCGACTTTTAAAACTACTACACTTCTATAAGACTAAAAACCATTGCATAATATTTCATATTTGACATATTGTTACAGTTTGAGTTGTTGTCGTACGTATAATATACTAGCGGCCGCCCGCGACTTCGTATGCGTGGATCTCGTTTTACCCCCTTATAAGTTGAATTTTGCACAATTCCGTCTTAGTGAGCACCTACGTTCTAAAAGGAACCCCCATGCAAAATTTGAAATCAACCTTACAGTCAACTAGGTATGCAATACAAGAGAATAATAAAAACTGCAAATACAAATTATATTCACATAATCCTCAAGTCTCAATGTAGAACTCTGCCCACTTGTTTGCTCTTTTATAGAGTGCATCTAATTAGCAGGAAAGCTCTTATAAACGTGCCTTTTCTATTCAATTAGTGAGATTATACTGCCATTCGCTTCATAGAGAACATCTCTACCAACTAGAAAAATAATATTGACTCCGATTTATTTCTTATTATCTTTTGCCCGCGGCTTCACCCGCGTGAAATTTAGTTTGTCACATATCGTCATAAATTATAGCCTATGTGTTATTCTGGGTTATAAAGAATAATACTGTAAAGTTTTATGAAAATCCGTTCAGTAGTTTTTGCGTGAAAGAGTAACAAACATCCAGACATCCATACAAACTTTCACATTTATAAAATTAGTAGGATTGTTACTGGTACATGATATCTAACAAGATAAATTGATGTTGTTGTTTTTTTAATATACAAAACAAAATAAGGAAAAGTTAACAAAAATAGCTGTTATTATAACGATATTTTTTACCGATGAGGATTATTATGTTTTCTTGCTAGTCACTTATCACTAAGCCTACCTAATTTAAGATGAAATTGTATTTATTTTGTTTTTATTAAAAAAAACCTACAAATAGGAAAAATAATGACATACTCCAGAAATCTATAGGTATTATAAAGAGGTAAAGTTTGTATGTTTGTACATATTATTTGTTAAATTGTAAGGGGTAATCTCGGGATCTACTGAACCGATTTTAAAAATTCTTTCACCAATAGAAAGCCACATTATTGCTGAGTGTCATCCCAACTAATCCCAACTAATATTATAAATGCGAAAGTAACTCTGTCTGTCTGTCTGTCTGTCTGTCTGTCTGTCTGTCTGTCTGTTACGCTTTCCCGCTTAAACCTCGCAACCGATTTTGATAAAATTTGGCATAGAGATAGTTTGAGTCCCGGGAAAGAACATAGGATAGCTTTTATCCCGGTTTTTGAAACAGGGACGCGCGCGATAAAGTTTTTCTGTAACAGACAAAATTCCACAAAGAAAGCTAGTAGGTCATATAACCGAAAAATTCCACGCGGGCGAAGCTGCGGGCGGAAAGCTAGTAAATAATAACATGAATGATCAAATTAGGTACATAATTATGTAACTAACAATAGCAAATCGAATGCGAAAAATTGGAAGTGAATTTGATACAGTAATTACTTTAACTGCACAAACATAAAACTTCCACTGAAGTTCATCAAGGTCCGTTTATGAAAGGACATTAAAACTTGTTAAATATATTGTTTAGCTATTAAGTAACAACGCAAAAAATGTCATAGAGCTTCCATGAACGTGGCCTAGAATCTACTCTACTCGTTTTCGTAGTACTCGTCTAAATAATACTAAAAATATATTACCACCTAAAATATGTGGCTATGATAAGCTTAATTTTGCTTTTCTAGGTCTTTCCAAACTTTAAGCAGGTACGCCATGTAAAGCTATCAATTTCAAAATACCTTCGATTAATTGGTCGGATGATATTTTCACTATTCAAACAAGACTATTAAGTGTCCTCAACTATCTTCAAACCAAATTAATTCCAGACTGCAACCTGAGACATTTAATTTCGCTAATTGATTCGTAACTACGTTCGATCAATTGATATTGAAGACAACGAAAACAGTCTGAGTAGGCGATACTCGTGGATGGAAATTTTCAACTACCCACGCGTAAACGACTTATATCTTTCAAAATCTTACAAATTAAAGCAGTGGGCGATGATATAAATACAAATAATCAATAAATAAACAGCTTTAAATCGCTACACCAGACGACCGTCAAAGTCGTATTAGTTAAGTTATTACGTTAATGCAAAGACACACGTCAGAGTCAGCAGGCACTTCGCAGGCTTAGTGCCAAATAGATACCAAAAAAATTACATAAGTTGATGCTTATTTCAAGTTTCTAGCTTTTACAATGCAAGTTCTGTACATAAACCTAAAGATATTACTAGTATTACTACATTTAACAGTGCCTTGTCTCTAACTTAACTCTATCATAGAGTGAATCAAGAAATGATTAGGCTCTGCTGTAAACTTATCTCTCATCATCATCATCATCATCATCTCAGTCATAGGACTTCCACTGCTGAACATAAGCCTCCCCCAACATATCTCTATAAAGAGATACCTTCCAGTCAGCCATCATGACAGGGTCGTTAAAAATAAAGAGAGTACATATTATTAGACAAAGAAGGTCCCGAACTATGTATGTATACCTATCACGGAAGGTCGAAAATATTGCATACTTTTTAATTTATACTTAACTCTGAATGGTAAGCCTATCATTAATTTACGTTGCATTTATGCATCTAACAATACATTATGTACTTACTAACATTATGTACTTTTTTGCTCTATCATGATGACTGATTGCACTGCCTAGATAAATACGTGGAACATCATTACTATAGATCTTAGATAAGAGAACATAAAAATGACGTCATTTATGTGCGATGTGAATCTTATTAACATAGAATTGCACATGTTTACGACTTTAGTTTGACTCTAGCTTTAAGAACCTATATGCGGTTACGTCAATAACACAAACGGTAGAACTTTTCAATCTTGAAAACCTGTGGAGTTTATTTTTATCGAATTGTAAAAGATACTGTAATTATTGTGACTTTTGAACTTAATCAAAGTATGTACAGAAATGGAAATTCATATAAGGAAAATGGTTTCTATTCAAATTAAAATTAATACGGGTAAAATTCTAATTTCATTCATAATATTCTAATTAATACACGCCAAACCGCAAAAAAACTATAATACATCGTAATCGTCATAAATCTTTGTACTCGTATTTAATAAAAATCTAGAATATCTTTAACATTAAAATGTCAAGGACTTATTTAGGACTAATAGAGTACGTTATTATTATTCTGTGCTAATAGAGTAGTTTATTATTTGCACAACTAAAAATAGGTAATAACTATTGATAAAACTGGCCAAAATCAAATTAAAAAAACCTTCAAACTTTACTGGCGAGGTGAAGAGTTCATTGTTTGAATGGGTGTTGAATTATTTAATTGTTTGATAACTAGCACATATAGCCGAACCCTTACTATTGAAGGTAACATTTTAGTATTTATATATGTATACTCGTAATAGAAAAGAAAACAAAGGCAATGCCGTGAACATAGAAATAGGCATTACGCTTCCATTTCACTTCCTTCTTCTTACTTCCTTTCGTCTCAATACACTGGTTCGCAAATATGCGCCCCATGCCGGTCAACACAAAGAGAAAATTAACTGTCGTTTTTTGTTTCTGCATCCTCTGCTTTGTTAGAGGATAATATTGTAATGGACAAATGATAATAATTATTCACGGTTTAATTAGTCAGTCAACGTATTTTCCATCATCGTCAAAACTGATTTAAATCACATGTAGGTACGTAAATATCACTACCTATCATGCATACTCGGAAATCACATTTACCAGAATTAATTAATTGAGCTTTCCAATTCCATCCTGTTTGATTATTGGGTTTTCGATATTTCAGCGCTACATTTATAGGGTACCTACATCCATTTTTTTTTTCCTGTAATAAAATTAATGTATGGAAAGAAAAATATGGCATAAAAAACTAAATAATGGATCTAATAGGTGCTAGTATAGTTTGACTTTATTATAAAGACTTAGTAAATAAAACGAGCACGCTTAAACCATTCGACTGATTTAGGTAAGGAATAAGTAGTAGAGATAGTAGCCTAGGTAGGAAAAAAACTACATACCAGGAACAACCAGGGAACATAAAAAAAATATATCTAAAATAACCGAAATTCGCCTAGGCGATGCTGCGGGCAAATGCTAATCTATTAGTCTGAAACGCTGTTGAGTGTACCAACTTGTAACAATGATATTTCTCTTTCCAGAACACCATAACCCAAATAACGGCCCTCTTGGTCGTGGTGGCGCTGTCGTCAAGCAGCGTGGTCCAGTCACCCAGCGCGAAAGGAGACAACTTCGAGCTGCTCATTCTCCACAACAATGACATGCATGCACGGTTCGAGCAGACCAGCCAGCTCAGTGGCACCTGTACTGCTAAAGACAGGGAGGCGGGCAAGTGCTATGGCGGCTTCCCGAGGGTCGCTTACGTGTAAGTAGCTGGCTTATTAGGCAGTGCTACCCAAAGTGGTCTAAGATACCCTGAGATCAATTGGGGGAGAAAGAATCTTCGAGGAGGTAGCAAGGTGAAAATTAAATTGGAGGATTCTACGATGAATGAAAAACCACCATAGTGAACTTTTTGTTCCCAGTTTTGCACGGACATTGCGGGCTTAAATTAACCATTAACCCAAAGATTATGCAACCAAAATGCTAACAGAGCACAAAATGCAAACAATGTAAATGTAAAATTATAAACTAACGAGATACTTGTAAACGAATTGTATTTTTCATATAATGAATTCTTCGAATTCGAGTCAAAAGCAAGGCTAGGTAGAAATGGTTAAATATACCTGGAAAATCGGCTACAAAATAACTGTTAAAGCTTTAAAGTACGCTGCAAGTGTTTGTAAACTAGTTATTTAAAAATACCCGGCGCGTTCAGTAAATCCTCTCTTATTTTTCAGACCTTATAGCTCGCCCAGTAATGGGTTTGGTCGAGCTGTTATTAACGTGAAATTCTGTTTTTTGTGATCTAGGTCACATGCGTCATTGGGTGATATTGATCGACACACCACATTCAGTAAATAGTGCACACGTTTATGGTTATTTTACTGGATGTCGATACAATTTTCCGGATAGAAGCGTAACCGTAAGGCGCTCGGACATGGCATTCCTTCAGATATTTGGAACACAAATATAGCGTACTTAGCTGAAATATTTGCCAAGCGTTTTACATTTACAGCGTTTTCGTAAACAATGTGTTGTTATTGTTGTCGTCGTATCGTAAATAGTGCGTAGGCGTAAGGAGGAAGGAAATACTTTTAAGGATTCAAATCCCATAGAAGGCAGTCAACTTTTACGAGTAGGTACATGTAAATGTCATATTATTTTAATCTTGTCTTTTTTAGAAAACGATAATCTGACGCAATTCCCAATACCTACGTAAATAACCGTTAATTACCTTAGCTCAAATACGTAATTAAAACACGAAAGTTCTCGTAGCATTTGCGAAAGAGAAAATAAACCACGTAAAGTACTTATTTACCTGATGTTTTATCCAATTGACATTTGGATTAAATAAATGACCAGCTGACCTCATTAAAATCTAAAACTAGTCGCGTCGACTATTTGGTGTCAATATTTAAATTAGTTAAACCTGATCTAGAAATAGGATCGAATTCGCTACCTTAATTGGCTTGACGCTAAACAACTCAAGCCATGTTTGGATTGGAACACAGTTTGGTAATTAATTATTTATTTCTAAAACTTTTTGTAAAATAAAACTATAATTAGGTACCAAACCCGTTTTCTCACTCAGCTTTTTCTTACCTTTGCATTACATTTAAAATATGATACGCAAAGAAATCACATTTTCTACATAATTGACCTTTTTAATATGTATTTTTACGTCGAGAATCTTTATGCATTTACTGTTATTCAATTTCCTTATTCATGGAAATCTTAGAAACGGAGTGGCAGCGCCGGATATTGAATGTTCGAGATAAAAATCAGGTCTTTTTTACCTGGGAAACTACCCTAGATTTATTTTTAGGCTGTTGAAAGGAAATCATATTTTACGACCAATAACTTCAATTAAGAATTTCTTTACTTAAACCAGTGTAGTTCGCTTGATAACCAACTTAAATTACTAACCATATTGGTGTCTGATGACAGTGTTGCACGACACATCAACGCTCATCGGTATCATGTTCGAAAGAGTTCTCACTACCACCGGAGGTGCATTACCTACATACAAATTCATACCAAATTACAGTAATATGGTTAGACCTCCTGAAGCATGCATGCAATGACTCCTCTCGTTACCTAAATAAAGTCGTCCGTCCATCGAGCAGATGATCGTATCAATTCACATTAGAGTAGCATGGTCTTCAAAATCTTCCTACTACCTTCGATACTAAGTTCTGGGTGACCTGCTCATTGTCGCTTTTCATGTTCATTTTGTTCGTAAATATTACACAGCGCCCTCAGGTCCTAAACTAAGTTAAACTGGTACTACGAGGGCCAACCAATATCACCAGCGGGTGATCCACCTGAGGACCCGAGAATCTCGATCCGTAGCAGTAGTATTAATATGTAGACTTCCCCCAGATATAAATCAAAAGCAGTTCATAATCGCATTGTATACCTTACCCTAAAAGCTAACCAGAACTTTTCTACCCCAGCGGCCATCAGCTCTGTGGACTCTGTCAGTCACTTTAGTTCTCCAGCGGATCTCCTCATTTCTGATTCGATCGCGCAGGGAAACGACCACGAGCCGGAAGACGTAGTGTGGTCAGGCATCCCACTGGGTAGACCGACGATCTGGTGAAGATCGCTGGAGGTGCCTGGATGCGGGCGGCGCAGGACCGGTCTTTGTGGAAATTCTTGGGGGAGGCCTTCGTCCAGCAGTGGACGTCATTCGGCTGAAACGAACGAACGAAAAGCTAACCAGCACCAATCTCATTCCAGGGTAAAGCAGGCGAGAGAAGCAGCAGCGTCAGGCCAAGGTCCACCAGTTCTGTACTTGAACGCTGGAGACACCTACACGGGAACTGCCTGGTTCACCATCTACAAGTGGAAGATTGCTGCCGAGTTCATCAACGCTCTGCAACCTGACGCTGTGGTGAGTGCCAACTTTTGATGAATGTTGTGGTGTAAGGCGAGTCGTCATGTCAAGTCATAAATACCATTAGTGCTGTGATGCAAACAGTTTGTGGTGTGAACCCCTCCCAATTTTGTGCCGTCCAACCGTTTGTATCGTCAATTTTGTACATATTCTCATATTGTCCTTGTGAGCTCGCTTGAGTGAAGTTAATAATAAAATTCACATCTTAAAATATTAGTTTCGAGATGTCATGATGATAGAGAAACGCGACGGAATATAACTTCAGTCGATTTTCACTGAAACACTGTTTTCAGGCTGAATTATTGCTGTTATGTAGATTACAATTTTCATGGAAACAGATAAAACATTTAAGCCTAGGGAAAACAGCAGACATGAATGTGACGTGATGTGAATGCAACGTTATATTTTTATGCAATTTAATTTGTTAATTAAGGTATAAAATATGACATGCTGCGCGCACGTAGGCTGTACACCAGAATCATTAACTCCTTAATTAAAGATACTCTTTGCTCAAAATTGATACAGCCTACATAAGCTATTCGAGTACAAGGTAACAAGACTGAGCGAGCAAAAATAAGTAATAAGCAACAATCAATAAATCGATAACCGTTTGAAGGATACTTCCACGATTCCAAATAGTAGGTACCTACGTTATTAAGAGTTCCGAGTAAATTAAATCGAGCATTTTTAATCTGAATTTCAGTGAAGCAAAAACAATTCAGTTCTCGTTACAGATGCATAGTTGACGTGATGATGAGTACTTATACAAGCAAATGGGACTAAAATTCGCCCACGATTTTTTAAGAGACTGATTTTTATCATTCCTTTATCTAAAAAAAACTAATTATCACGAACATTGACCTCAATCACAATTTGGCAAGGTTCCTCGCTCAGTCAAACTCAATTGCCCCGTTGTGTTAGAGACATTTTGTGTAAAAATATTGTTGTTTAATAATAGGTGTAGTCCGCTCTCAGGTAAATGTCCGTAGTCGGCTATCGATTGGGCTAATTTAAAACTGCGATACCTTTTCAAACGGAGGGCTGTCTAATCAAAGATAAATAATCCCAAAGAGAATAGGCTAGTTTCCTGAAAAAAAACTTTTAGAATATCAATTATATTATTATCAAAAAATATTGGACACCTATATTTTGTTATTTGCGTTAAGTTCCGCGTGACGTCACAAAGTGCTACACTTTTAAACACTTCTTGACGTCGCGGGTCTCTTCTTTTGAACTTTGGCACGCTTTATCTCTTTCAATTTTCAATAGTTTGAAAAAGTGAATATGCGCGTCGAGTATTTTTTGATAAGTTAACTGATGTTAAAACCTTTTTTTTTACCCAGGAAACATCCCTACTCTCAGTTTGAAGAGAGGCAATAAGTAGCCCAATGTTAGCCTACCCAAAGCAACTGCCTATGTGTCGTTACGAATGTGCTTGCCGTGTTACGTGATTTCAAAGTGTGGGATATTTGTGTTATCCATGTTCATACTGACATCAACCTCATCCATAGAGGAAAACCACATACAACCTTGTAAAGAGAATTAGGTTCAAGAATTCACTATACACACACTCATATTAATAGCCGTATTCACAAACGATGCTTGCTTAAGTGAAGCAGCAAATCGAACGCATGGCGTTGAATAGAGCCTTGTGATTGGTTCGTGTGTCACCCTGTGCATCCACGCGCACTGTGACACCTCATAGTAATGTTTGTGAATACGGGCGTAAGAGACACAAACTACGAAACGTACACAACGGTCTTATCATAGCTCAGTTATATTTACTCTATTTGACATAATCACGTATGCATGCAAACTATCAAATCACACGTTTACAGAACAATTGAAACATCCGTTGCAAAATATTTTATAGGTAAACTATTAAGATAAATAATAATGTCAAAATTTTCCCCAAAATGTATCAACTTCCACAGAATACGGAATATCCAAAACTCTGATAAGAATTAAGATTTACGTAAACATCGCGGGTAAATAATAGTTAAATTATCAGTCAATGGAAAAAACACAACCATGTTTTAATGTTATCCAAGATGTTGATAAGTGATTTTACGAAGACTTGTGTTCCTATACAAAAAGTAAGTTAATTCAGAATATTATCAACTAACTAATTCACTAACAATATACCTAACATATGTTTAAGAATATTAACTAAACTATTAACACTAACACTAAACCATAATTTTATTATGTTATTCTGTTTATTTTATTTTATTTATTCATGTGGTTTGGCTGTGATGAACCATACTGCTTTTGGTTAAGGTGCGTTTTTGGTTTTGGTATTTTAATTTAGTGTAGTAAAATGAACGTCATGTTTATTTTAATAAAAATATAATTTATTGTTTCTTCTCCTAACAACTTTTGTAAAAGATACGCATATTTTTCTTTCCTTAAAAATTCCACGATTAGGTACCAGATGTCGAAAGACAGTTTACTAACACTTACTAACCTTTATTATTATGATGAAAAAGAAATACCATAGCCCCATTAATAACTAACAATTTATGTTTCTTTTTCAGTCTCTCGGCAACAATGACCTGAACACTGGACCTAACGAACCATCTCCGTTCTTAAATAACATCAATTCTCCTATATTGGCCTCTAATGTTATCCTTAGCAATGAGAAAGACAACAAGAACATACAAAAATCCCTAATTTTCAACATCCAAGGAAGAATGGTCGGTCTACTCGGATTCTTAACACCTGAAAATAATGTTTTGGATGGAACAATTAACATTGAATACGTTGACGAGGTCATCGCCTTATCTGAAGAAGCTAAGAGGCTTCAAGAACAAGGCGTCAACATTATTATTGCAATAGGTCACGCTAGCGTGGAGAAAAACATTGAAATAGCTAAAGAAGTTGAAGGCATTGACCTAATTATTAGTGGTAATGAAAATACGTATTATTGGAATGGAAATAATGTAGGTACAGAAACACCACTTGAAGAACCTATAGTCATTGTTCAGGAGTCAGGAAAACGAGTACTGATACTTCAATCTCAATCCTATGACAAGTATCTCGGTAGGGCGGACATCAAATTTGACTCTGATGGAGAACTTGTTGATTATACCGCAGATCCAGTTTTACTCGACACTTCCGTAGCGCAAGACGCGAAGGGGCTTGAACTAGTATCAAAATACCATGAAGAATTGACCACATTTTCAGAAGAAGTTGTAGGGCAAACTGCCGTAGTCCTCGATGGTGAGTCCTGCAAGACTGCCGAATGTAACCTTGGAAATTTGATTGCCGATGCCATAATGTATTACTACGCAATCAGATACGAAGGAGAGACCTGGACTGATGCTGCCATTGCTTTCGTTCATGGTGGTGCCATATTTGGATCCATTGCGCCCAGCAATCGTCCTGCACCAGTGACAAGGGGCGATTTATTGTCAGCACTGCCGTTACAAAGTAACATAGTTGCTGTAACGATGACGGGAGCAATCCTTAACCAAGTGCTAGAACATTCTGTAGCTAACTACAGTATTTCAAACCCTACCGGTCAATTGCTCCAGTTTTCGGGGATAAGGGCAGTTTACGATATCAGCAAAGAGCCAGGCTCTAGATTAGTCAATGCAGTGGCTCGGTGTTGGTCATGTTTTGTTCCGGAATCCTACGTCATCGATGATTGGAGAACATACAAAGTACTGATGCCAGCGGCATTGGCAAACGGTCAGTTTGGTTATACAATGCTGGTTGGTTTACCAGTAGAAGAATTGGAGTATGATGAAGTGACTTGTCTTGCTGAATTCATAAGTTTGCGGTCCCCAGTGTACCCTGATGTGGCTGAACGCATCGTGTTGGCCGGTCAAGATGATTTTGAAGACCCTACTCCAGAGTCCACATCAGAGCCTACAACTGAGCCTACTCCAGAGTCCACACCAGAGCCTACAACTGAGCCTACTCCAGAGTCCACAACTATTGACCCAGAGTCTGACTCGGCAACCATAACTACTTCAAGTATTACTGTACTACTGCTAACGTCAATTCCCATGTTTAAATACTATTTTGGTTGATTTATAATTTTTTACCTTTTATATAAAAAAATATTAATTGTATTGTTGTTTTTTTCATACCGTTTCTACGTGAGTAGCCCTTAAAGGTGACATGAAGAGAGATAAAACAAAACGTTCTTTCTTTTTCTTCATTAGTTGTAAATATTGAACAGATTTATTCGTGAACAATATATTTAACAATTTAAATACTCGTACGTAAGTACGTAATAATTATGTAATAGTAAAGTGCATTAAAAACCGTAAAAACGTGAAAGTGCAATTTCTTCAGGTGACATAAATATGTACATAGGTATGTTTTTTTATTTATGAAGGACAACAATCATTAAAGCATGCAAGCAATAAGTCACGTTAAAAAAGATAAATATAATATTCCAAGTAAATTGGAATATTATATTTATCTTTTTTAACGTGACTTTACATTTAAATAATTTTCCTATCCTCCAAGTGCATCAAAAACACACACATATCCTTACTTTCTTTCGATGTAACACATTAAATAAAAAATCATTCATGTTTGGTGATGGCCTCATTAACTTAATGTTTATTGTAATAAGTAAATTATTTGTATTTTATTTAGTTTAATAGCAGTGGTTATTCAGTTGCATGGTTACATATTTTCCTTCCATTTATTTACTTGAAGTATCTTTTGAATACAATATCTTATTTATTCGCGTTTATTTGTTTCAGTCTTTGGGCAATCACGAATTAGATAATGGCGTGTCGGGCTTGACGCCTTTCATCGAGAACTTGACGTGCCCTGTCCTCGCTGCCAACCTAGTTCTCAACAAAGTCCCTGAACTAGAAGCCGAGCCAAACCTCATGAAATCAGTCATTTTTGACGTAAACGGGACCAAAGTGGGCGTCATCGGATACCTCACACCTGACACCAAAGTACTGGCTGTAAGAAACGATGTGGACTACATCGAAGAAGTACAGGCCATAAAAGAAGAAGTGAAAAACTTGAAGCAACAAGGAATCAAAATATTAATAGCACTTGGACATTCCGGTTTTACTAAGGATCTAGAAATTGCCAGAGAAGTCGAAGATATTGATTTAGTTATCGGCGGGCACACTAACACATTCCTATGGAATGGAACAAGTCCCGACATTGAAAAACCTGAAGGTCCCTACCCAATGATAGTGAAACAAGCGTCAGGAAGACGGGTACCCGCAGTTCAAGCCTATGCTTACACAAAATATCTGGGAAAGTTACACCTAGTTTTCAATACTGACGGGGAAGTCGTCAGTTTAAATGGAAACCCAATATTGTTAGACAAAACCGTGCCACAGGACCCAGACGTATTGGCAATCGTCAACCGCTACAGCGGCGAAGTAAAGAAAGTAACTGAATTAGTTGTAGGAACAACTTCAGTGGTACTAGATGGCAACTCATGTCGTTTACGAGAATGTAATATGGGGAATTTGATAGCCGACGCAATGATATACAAGTATGCTTCTGAATATACTGGATATGGGTGGTCAGATGCACCGATCGCAGTGATACAAGGGGGTGGGATCAGAGCTTCTGTAGTTCACATGGATATGCCAGCCAATGTAACGAAGGGTGACCTATTGACTGTGATGCCATTTGATGGGAGTATGTCTGTGGTAACCGTTCAAGGTGAAACTGTCTGGAAAATGTTGGAGCACGCAGTAGCTTACTATAATACGAAAAGGGCGGTGGCAAAATTTCTTCAGTTATCTGGCCTAAGAGTTGAATACGATTTTGCAAAGCCGCCGGGAAGAAGGGTGTTGAGGGCATCTGTGCGCTGTGGCCTATGCATTGTCCCAACGTATTCCTCCCTTAATAGAACGAAAACATACAAAATGCTCATGACCTCATTTCTTTCGATGGGGGGTGATGGATTTTCCATGCTTCCCGGCCTACCATCTACTCCCTTAAACTACGACGAATTGGAATCAACGATATACTACATCCAAAAAATTAGTCCAGTGTTTCCAGCCATAGAAAATCGAATAATCATAAACAATTATGATAAATTAGTACCTTTATATAGTTCTGCAAAAATGGCAACAATATCTGCAGCCACTTTAGTATTAGCACTAGTCACTAGATTATTGTAAAATGTATTAAACTTAGTCTGTAGACCTTATGGTTATTATAGTAACTATGTATTTATTAAACCGAGGTTGTCCTTTGTTAAGTGAAAATGATTATGTAAGGAAAACCTAAATAAATTGTAAATAATAACATATTCTGTGAAAGTATTATGCATTGTAATCCTAATATTTAAAATCCATTATATCCAACTTGGGATTAATACAGTATTATTATTTATCGAGGTCTATTTGCCTATACTTTATTATTACAATTTATTTTAAAAAATATTAGAAATATCAAACATAAAGTCTATCGTTATAGGAATCTTAGAATAAGTAGGTAGGTAGATAACTTAAACAAAATTAGAATAGTCGTGTTTTATAGATATAGGTAGAACATTTCATAGGAATCAATAATAAAGATAATACTTAAAACGGCACAGGTTTAAAGCATATAAATTATAACCTTATGCTTCACCATCACACATTTTTAACACAATCTCGCAAATATCATCCATACAACCGGCACTTCACAATGATGTACTTTCTAAATGCTTGCATTGTAATTAACTTCTGCATGTGAATGAATTTATTGTCGAGCGCATGATATCAAATCTACTTTGAAATCTAACACGAAAAGCATGTCCGTAACGAAAATGACACTCCAAAAGTTATAACTCGTAAAATTATCGATATAATATTTCACATCTTTTCAGGAATAACCATAATGTCGGTAAATACCGACTAAACAATTTGTTTGTTTCAGTCCCTTGGAAATCATGAGTTTGACAACGGTGTCAGCGGCCTCACCCCCTTCATTGAAAACCTAACATGCCCAGTGCTAGCTGCCAATCTTGAGCTAAGCAAGGTTCCGGAACTAGAGAGAGAAACTAATCTGAAAAATACAATTACAATTGACATAGACGGCACTAAAATAGGAGTCATAGGTTACCTAACACCCGAAACCAAATTTTTAGCAGTAGAAAACGACGTTGAATACATTGACGAAATCGTTGCATTGAAAAAAGAAGTCGCCAACCTCCAGAACGAAGGCATTAAAATAATAATAGCACTAGGCCACTCTGGATACCTGAAAGATATTGAAATTGCAAAGCAAGTAGAGGGCGTTGACTTAGTAATCGGTGGACATACCAATACCTTTCTCTGGAATGGCACTAGCCCAGATGCCGAAGAAATTCAAGGCCCCTATCCCACATACGTTAGACAAGCTTCAGGTAGAACTGCTTTAGTAGTACAAGCGTATGCGTACACCAAGTATTTAGGAAAATTACTTTTAGCCTTTGATTCAGAAGGAGAGATCGTCAAAGCTGATGGTCAACCTATTCTTCTTGATAATACCATCCCTCAGGATCCGGATACATTACAAATTGTAAATCGGTATACAGCAGAACTGAAAAATTTAACAGACGACATTGTAGGAGAGACAACGGTTGTGTTAGATGGGCTAAGTTGTCAGTTAAAAGAGTGCAATTTAGGTAATTTAATAGCCGACGCTATGTTCTATACGTACACTGAAGGTTACAAAGGAGACCACTGGACTGATGTTCCAATCGCTATGATACAAGGTGGAGGTATCAGAGCGTCTATAGCACACGTCGACACTAAGACAAAGATATCTAAAGCTGATCTAATAACAGTTTTACCTTTTGGAGGTAACTTAACAATAGTAACAGTAAATGGTAGTATTATATTAGAGATGCTTGAGCATTCTGTAGCTAACTACGATCTTCTTAATCCACCGGGTGAATTCCTCCACTTTTCTGGTCTAAAAGTAGTTTATGATTTAAATAGACCAGTGGGGCGTAGAGTCGTAAGCGCAAAAGCTAGGTGCTGGTCTTGCAGCATTCCCGAGTACTTTGATGTGGAAAATAATAAGACTTACAAAATTTTGACTAGTGGTTTCCTCGCGAAAGGTGGCGACGGGTATTCAATGTTGGAGGACTTGCCATCAGAAATCCTACCTTACAATGAACTTTACTGCACGGAGTATTTCATCAGACACCACAGTCCCGTTTTCCCTGAAGTTGAGGGTCGTACAATTTTGCTGAATAATCAAGCGCTGCAAAATTCAGCTATTTCATTGTCACCTCCATTATCATTCCTTATATCGTTGTTTGGATTGTTCATCCAGCTCCTCTTATGACGATAGACTTCGTGGATGATATTTTAACAAAGTACGTCATATTATGTACGTCAAGATGCAGCTATAAATTTTAAGCTGTGATTTTAAGCATTATGTAGATAAGTTTTGCTGAATGTCTAACCATATCCTACTAGATTCAGTATTAAGTAGTTCCTTATTTCATTGTTTGCATTGCTCATCCAGCTTATTTTATGACGATAGACTTCGTGGATGTTAATTTAACTTAATACGTCATTAAATTTGTACGTTTAGATGCTGCTATTTAAATTTTAAGTATTACTTACGTAGAAAATCCTTCCTACTATCCTACTTATCTGTCTATACTAATATTATAAAGAGGTAAAGTTTGTGTGTTTGTATATTTGTTAAATTGTAAGGGGTAATCTCGGGGTCTATTGAACCGATTTTAAAAATGCTTTCACCAATAGAAAGCCACATTATTGCTGAGTGTCATAGGTTATACAGGGTGTTTGGCGCATCGTGTGCCAAAATTATTTGGCGGATAGAATGGGTCATTTCCTATATTTTCACCCCCCATAACACGTTCCATGTCAGGCGGCTACTTTCATATTAAGTTTTTTAGTAATTTCACCAAAATACCCAAATCGCATCATTTAATTTCGATTTAAAAAAAAACTACTAAGCGTAGCCTCAAAGTAAATATTTTGTTTTGACGTGCATTGATATAGGGTTGCATCAAATCTAAATTTACTGGCAAATATCATCTAGTTTTTTTTTAATTCAGCTTTGAACTTTTCCGAAAAGTTAAAAATGGACTGAACATTTAAGTTTACATGGCTATAAAATTTTTTTTAAAAGAGATAGCGATCTTCGGATTTTATCAAAACTTCTCTAGTCTATCCCCATTCAAACGGTATACTAATCTTGTTTAAATAATAACAACAACTTCACAAATTCCCTAAATTAGTGCATTGACTCTATTCGGACTGATTTGCGAAATTTGTGTTTATAGCCCCTTTTTGTGTGAATAACACGTTAAATACCTACAGGTAAAAAATATTTATCTTAAAAAAAAAACTAGATGATATTTGCCAGTAAATTTAGATTTGATGCAACCCTATATCAATGCACGTCAAAACAAAATATTTACTTTGAGGCTACGCTTAGTAGTTTTTTTTTAAATCGAAATTAAATGATGCGATTTGGGTATTTTGGTGAAATTACTAAAAAACTTAATATAAAAGTAGCCGCCTGACATGGAACGTGTTATGGGGGCTGAAAATATAGGAAATGACCCATTCTATACGCCAGATCATTTTGGCACACGATGCGCCAAACACCCTGTATAAAAAACCGAAAAATTCCACGCGGGCGAAGCCGCGGGCGGAAAGCTAATAATATTATAAATGCGAAAGTTTGTATGGATGTCTGAATGTTTGTTACTCTTTCACGCAAATACTACTGAACGGATTTTGATGAAACTTTACAGTATTATTGTTTGTTTATTAACCAGAATAACATATAGGCTATATTTTATGACGATCTGTGGCAAACTACATTTCACGCGGGTGAAGCCGCGGGCAAAAGCTTATTTATGTATTAAAATAAAACTTATTTAGTTAAAAGTGTCACATTTATAGAGTAAGATTATTATCAGTATTTCTAAGTAAAATTTGTGAGAAGCGTCAATTAATATTGAACCATGAATAATAATTAGTTTTAAGTAGAAAATAAAAAGCAACACTTTAAGTACAAACAATAAAATAATTTTCAATTCGTTTGTGTATTTTATTTAACACTTTTAAAAAGGGTTGATTTTGTCACAGCCAAAATCCGGTTTGGCTAATTAGTTTCAATAAGAAGTTTAATAAGTCAACACGTCAATATCTGATAAAATCAGCCCTGTAATAATATTCCTATTCCTACCTTCCTAACTTGTATCATACCCTGTATCCTAAATCAAAGATCTTTTCTAATGAAACGATACAGGTTCATATTATTACAATAAAAATAGTGAATAATAATAGTGAATAGAGCCTGCTTCTCTATGAGAGCAAGAATGCAACTGAATCGATGTATAGTCATTGACGTAAGTATTACATAATAACAAAAACATTTGACAAATTACATAAAAGTGTAGAACAATGTATGAATATCTTATTAAATCAATACAATACAATTTTTTATGTAGGTACATAAATTTTCCAGTTTCAGAATGTAGTAAAAAACAAACTGGAACTAAAATTCTTCCCGGATTTCCCAAGAGAATCCTCTTTTCATTATTAAGTAAATTGTTGCATTTTCGCTCTTCTCTACCACAGTAAAATTAGGTTGAATCAAAAGTTAATATCTGAAGCGCAATTTGAGAAGAAAATAGAACTTACCAGGGTAGACTCCAACAGCTTTGGTAATCATAAGGCGATGCAGGCATCTGAAAAAAATGAATAAATATTGCAAGAAAGTTATGTATTAAATAATAATTAAAAACATACATACCTACTTACAATAAAGTGAAAAGGTATCACTAATTAATTCACTGTTTAATCACGATTTGGCTAAAATAGTTCAACAAGGATTAGTTATTTAAGTTGCGAAACATTTTTGGAATTTAAAGAACAGAAGTGGTAAGCAGTTTATAAAAATAAAAATATTTTATCAAGTTAATAATACCTATTAACAAGTGTGAACCTTAATATCACTCTACGGTATGGCCCTACATAAAGTACAACCCTGGAAGGGAGTTTTTTGTCGATAATTTATGATGTAGTTACAACGTATAAATACCTAAGTATGGAAAATGTACCTACATTGACTCTACCGCTCTACTTCAATCCAGTAGATGTTTGTTTGTTTGTCCTAGGCAGAAAGCAGAATATTTCTTAAAATTCTAAATAATTTTCTTTTTCTCATTTCAGTCTCTCGGGAACCACGAATTCGACGAGGAAGTCGAGGGACTTGTGCCCTTCATACATAACGTAACGATTCCTGTATTAGCTGCCAATCTCATCTTGGACAAAGTACCTGAACTTGAACATGAACCAAATTTACATAAATCCATCATCCTATTGGTACAGGGCGTAAAAATTGGAGTGATAGGATACTTAACACCAGAAACCAAATATCTAGCTCCAAAAAATAAAGTAGAATACGAAGAGGAAATTATCGCTATCAGACGGGAAGTAGAGGCATTGAAAAAACAAGATGTTAAAATATTCATTGCCCTTGGACATTCAGGTTTCATTAAAGACATTGAAATAGCAAAAAATGTCGAGGATATAGACTTAGTGATCGGGGGTCACTCGAACACATTTTTGTGGAACGGACGGACAAACGAAAAGCCTGAATATCCAGAGGGACCATATCCTACCATGGTGGTGCAACCATCTGGTAGACGGGTGCCTGTAGTGCAAGCTTACGCGTACACCAAATACATGGGCAGGCTACATTTGGTATTTGACGCAGATGGAGAAATCGTAAAATACGATGGAACACCACTATTACTCAGTCAAGATGTACCAAACGATAAAGAACTTTCAATAACTATCGACCGTTATCGTACCGAAATAGACAGAATAAACAACGAAGTGATAGGAAGTTCTTTGGTAGGTCTGGATGGAATATGCCGCATCAAAGAGTGTAACATGGGAAACTTCATAACGGATGCCATTTTAAACTACACTGCTAGGTATTACCCTGACTATTCTGACGTGAAGATAGCGGTGGTTCAAGGTGGCAGGATAAGGACTTCGATAGACCAAGCAGCGAAACCAATGAAAATATTGAGAGGGGATTTAATTACAGTGATTCCTTTCTCGGACACGTTAAGCATAGTGACAATGAATGGGACGGTGTTGAAGCAAGCCCTGGAGCACTCGGTGTCGACGTGGCGCCTAATCGACAGCACTGGCAATTTCCTTCAGATGTCTGGCATACAAGTGACATACGATTTAGCAGAGCCAGCGGGATCTCGCATCATAGACGCAAAAGCTGCATGTTCTCAATGCGGAGATCCCTCAATTTCTGAAGTAAAAGACGACTACGTGTACAAAGTGTTTATGCCGTCATTTTTGGCCGAAGGTGGCGACGGCTACGTTATGTTTGAGAATCTAACAAAAGAAGTTATTTCATTCGACGAGTTGAAGTGCCTCTTCGATTATTTAGGCAAATATAGTCCAATAAAGCCAGAAGTATCAAATCGTATTACGCTACTGAATAAGGACAAGCTTAAAAGTGAACCTCATAGAATAAATAATACAAATAGATTACTTGCAGTACCTAGTACTATCTTAAGTATAGTTCTGTTATGCAAAGTATTATACTCATGATGATAACTTATTTACAATTAGGGTAGATTCATAATGTGAATTTAGCAGTATTTGTTTCTCTCGCTTGTATCACCAAAATTCAAAAACAGTGTTAAGAAATACTCCAGTTGAAATCAAACCAAAAATATTATGTAAATTAACTGTAAATAACAGATGTAGATACTTTTATGAGCAACCTGCATAAATAGAAAAAAAAAACATATTTATTTTTGTACATTCCTAATCTAAATTGCTCTAAAGCAAATGGTATTTAAAAAAAATATTACAAGAACCATTTCCATTTCATTCCTATAACAACCTGTAAATCTGTTAATTAATATAACAGACCACATTCCCTACCAAAATATGGGGCATTTATGTAAAAGTTCATGTGATCTTAGTTGATAGTTTAGCAATAACTTTGCAGTTAAAGTCTACTTATTTATCTATCTATATAAATAAAAATGAATTGATGTTCGTTAGTCTGATTAAAACTCGAGAACGGCTGGGCCGATTGAGCTGATTTTGGTTTTAAAATGTTTGTCGTAGTCCAGGGTAGGTCTAAACGGTGAGCAAATACGCGCGCGATATTGTTTTTCTGTGACAGACAAAATTCCACGCGGGCGAAGCTGCGGGCGGAAAGATAGTATGTAATATAATTTACATGTACTTACATAAATGTTAAAAGGCTACTTTTCAATTGACAAATAAATTATTAATACTGTTATTCATAGATTTCAATGTGTGATATTATTTTGTTACCGCAATGTTATTTTTTTATTAAATCTTCTTAATTCAAAGAATTACAATTTTAACAAATATCATGAATAAATTAAATAGCAATTGAAAAGTGGGCCTTGAATAAATAGATATTTAAAGTTAGATAAATTAATCTCATTTATCATAGACCCTTTTTTACTTGTGATTTTTAACTGTTGCCAATTTTTATTTTTGAAACTGAGAACAACTACAACTTGTTACCTATGTGAACAAATGAAAAGAAAACTGAATTTTACGTCTTTTATTTTATCTCGTTACATATCATACCAAAGATTAAAAAATTACAAGCAATTGTGTCCTTATGATCAATACAGTTTGAGTATTATTTACTATTCCTATGTTCCCGATTTGGCCGACCACGTATATAAAAAACACCTGGCATGATTCTAATTTGTCATATTATACTGAGTAAGTACGATGTGATTAGCGAGATATGCTGATATTCATAAATCCATAGAAAACACGATACATTCATCATGCGCCGGTTTCTACTAGTAAATCCAATACAAAATATCTTACATTAATGATTACATAAAAGCTTTTTGCATCATAGCTAAGTAACTACAGCCGGTATGACAAAACGACGCCGAATCCATTCCTGAGTATATTCATTAGGCGAACTAACCTAAATAAAATACATACAACCCGATTGAATTAGCTGCACACCTCGCTAGAATGTGACTCACCCTCGCACTCACCGCACAACACGTCAACGTGACGTCACGGCTGCCAGGTTAACTCGACCGGGTTGTTTAAAACAAATTACTTACGTTACTAAAATTATACACTTTAAACAGTCTCCTATTTAATAAATATGGCACCATTGTAAATCATTAAATTAGATTTGATAACTTTAACTTGATACATTTTAGTACAAAACAATATAAAAAATGAATATTTTAAGATCAATAATCAACTTTCAAGGAACTTGAATAATTTGTTGTTTAACAACACATTAAAAGTATCTATCTAAGTACAGATCACCAAACTACAGGTAACATTATAACAATAAATTACAACAATATTAAAAATTGAGAAAAACAAAATATTAATATTAAGCAGAATTATTCTATAACTAGCTTTCCGCCCGCGGCTTCGCCCGCGTGGAATTTTGTCTGTCACAGAAAAACTTTATCGCGCGCGTCCCTGTTTCAAAAACCGGGATAAAAACTATCCTATGTTCTTTCCCGGGACTCAAACTATCTCTCTGCCAAATTTCATCAAAATCGGTTGCGAGGTTCAAGCGGGAAAGCGTAACAGACAGACAGACAGACAGACAGACAGAGTTACTTTCGCATTTATAATATTAGTTGGGATTGGGATTACCATAATATCATCGAAGAAATCGATATTCGATAATTACAGTGGAGAAATAATATCCGATAAAGTGGTCCAGTGGCAGTGTACTTAAGGAGATATAATAAAGCGAATATTTTGAACTTAATTTGTTAGGCGAGAGAATACAAGATTTTAGAGCCTTCAAATCAAATGCAGAGGTCAGAAATAAATAACACGAAGTTAGTAAAAACAATTCCTAAAAAATAATAACAAAACATTTTCAGTACATATCACTTAATCCTAAAATCTAATAATAATGAGTATGTTTCATTTCCAAATTACAATTTAGGTGGTGCGGCATTCCATTCCACTTGCTGGCTGTAACCGTAAGGGACTAACCCACCAAATATTTGCAAGCACTGCTTTATCGATTCCTGACAATCCGAAAGTTCCAAGCAAGGAGCATATGGCTCGAGCACCTGAGCTATCTCACACAAAGGCTTGTATATCCTCTCCGCTGTCTTCAAATCGCCCTTCTGAAGATTATCCAAAGCATCAGTATTTAAAATATTATCTTTGTGCTTCACAATCGCTGCAGGTAAATTTTTGGCTCGTTGCATTGTAAAGTGTGTAGGCCAATCGTTCACGCAAGCTTCACAGAGGCATGTAAACTTATACTGGAATTTGAGGTTTCCTTGACGTGTATTCCGGTCATCAATTGCGTGATGGGCACTGAAACGTAAAGAAGACATATTTTAGAATCATTTCAACTACAAATACCAACATAATAACACTGCAAAAATAACGAAACTTACCCATAGTTATCATAGAGTTGCATTCCTTTCTTAATCGGTCTTAGAGCAACTAATGTCATCCGGGCTGTTCCCAATCTGTGACACCTCACTACGTTTGGAGCACAAGAATGATTCAGCAAACTGTGAAAGGCATATGGGGCACTTCCAATGTTGAACTCGTCAACGAAATTTCCTTCGGCTGACTCCACATTTCCACTTATTCCATGCATATTAGTAGCACTTGTCATAATATGATGAAGTAAATTACCAGCTGCATATTTCCTAATATTATCTTGTTCCTCTTCATTGTCACTTTCTAAAAACTTTGTTTTCTGTGACAATTGAAATAAAAATACAGCTGCAGTAACTGCCTTTTGAAAAATATTAGATATAGATCTCTTTTCAATATTAGATGCCAAAGTATGTATTGAGGTATAATACTTTGAGTCATATACCCATTCATTGTTTACCTTAACATGACCTCTGAATTCTGAACCAGCATTTTCTTCTGCTTCTTGAATGGTTTTGAATAAACTGTCCCAGTCAGCATGGTCATTTCTAGCTTTTATTACAGTTCTAAGAGCAAGAAGCTCTAATGTAGTAAATTTCAACTCTACAAGGGTAGCCATCAACGGACATTCAGTTTCATGGTAATCCTTCCAGGCACTATCTTTGCATTGAACGCTACAATATAACGAAAAACAGCAGCTGTGACAAGGCAACAAATTCAAGCTTCTGGAGAGACAGTAACTGCAAGTGAACAAATATTGATGTTTCAAGAGCAGCTTGAAATAGGGTTCTTCTTGTATCAGAATATCACCAACTTTGATGTCACATTTTGCTACAACATGCCGTCCCATTTCATTACTGAAAACAACTTCCAGCTTCGAACTGGCACATGGAAATCTTGGCATCTGTGGGTCTTTTAAGGTAAGCAATTCACGTATTTCAGGGCTTAACCATTCAGATTCTGGAGTAACTTTATCTATACATATTGACTTTCTTTTATTTAATTTGTCAGTTAACTTCTCAGGGTATTTCATTGAGAAAACAGTGTCAATATCTTTAATACATTCGGCCCACTTTTCTAATGAGGAAAAGACTGCAGATCTATTAGCTAGGGCTAGACAATAACACTCAGAATGTAGAGGTGCATGAAGCAAAGATAGATTGTAATACTGCCATGCACCATAGTTATCGTTTCGTTGGTACTTTTTGTTGCCTTGGTTACGGTAGTATGTAGACACTTTTTCACATTTTTCAACGTCTAATATTTTTGGGAAGGCCTCCAAGCCTTCAAGAATATCATACACTATCAAAACCTTGTCATGGATATCTTTTGTGCATATTAATTGCTGTGATATTGAACGTATTTTACCTTGAGCGTTTAACTTGGCAAGAACGCCTTCATAGCAGGAATCAATACTCATGTTTATGTCTGTGTAGAAAACTATTGATCTTGCAGTTACTTGAGTCCAAGACAGTGGTGCACAATGTCTCACTTCGCGACGCCTTTTATAGTGGTAAATTTGGGGTGTGAGATGGTGTATGTCATCGACCAGCGCTTGAGGGCACAAAATATTACTCTGGATAAATCTGAGAGAGGTTAGATTATCGTCCACCTGAAAAACATAAAACTAATTTAATATACAATGTTTGGGTCGTAAAACTATGTTTTTATATCATTTGCAGTGCTCACCGATGTGGTTACAGTGCTACTTCATCCCAAACTCCTGGACGAGCTATTTATACCGCAGCCGGTGGCCACCCACGTCGTCATCAAGCAACTGCTTCAAGATATATCGGCCACGTCTATTATGAAACTAGACGACTATTCCATGTCCAAATTATGGGATTTGATGACCATGATCTTCAAATGGCAGCTTTCTGTAGCAACAAACCAAAATATTTTTGACATTAGCCGGCGACACTTGAGAAGTGTGGCCACACTCATGCCTCAACATTTCCCAAAATGTATTATTGAGCAGGCGATGAGGAGATTTGAATCTTTAGCCCAAAAATTCACTGATGATGATTACAAATCGCTGAGCAACACCTTGATATTATGGTTTTCTGAATATCATACAAAGATTTCAGTTTTACTGAGATTGGGACTTCAAAAGAAAGATGGAACGTTTAGTTTGCCAGCAACAATAAATTCAAGGATTTTACAAAATCTCGGAGAAAACATTTACATTTATGACAATAAGAAAAATCCTGCTGATGAATATGAATCTAAATGTGCTGATACTTGCGAAATCAGTTGCCTCCTTGGGACAATAGATCCTACGCCTAGCAAACAGGGAGTCATTGAGTTGCACCTGCCTATCGAATTTGGGAAAGGAGTTGCTAAGAAAACAATTGAACTTCCAAGAGATACACATTTTGAGAGCATTAGCACTAATGTTAAAATAAAGAATACAGAACTTACATTCACTCCAGATATTCCCAAATCGACACAAGAGGACTTGTTGGATATGCTTCTCGAAACAGAGTGAACATAGTACTCAAATAAAATCAATATTACCACTTGTTCCACTTATTTCGGGAAATTCCCGTGTATAAACTGTCCGACTTCACAAGACGAGACTTCTCTCTCACCAGAAGTTCTATAGAGTAAGTAAGTCGCTGTCTTCACAATAACGGACCGGATATTATTATAATAACGGAAATCCCCCGCTCGTGAGGGTTTAATTTAAGGGTCAATTCTTTAACACTGGTGTTATCTTTATAACGAAGTATTAAATCTGTCCTTGCTAGCACACTTTGGAAGCATTATAATCGATTTATTATAATGCACAAAAGCATTAAACACAAGCAAATGTGCATAGTTGGGTTTTGCATAGGATCCTACCATTTAAATACACAATGAAAATCAAAATTTCAAAAAATACTTTATTACAATACTTAGCATTAATGTTACACTCGCCGATTTAAATTAATCTACACAAAAAACTTATTTGATATCATTTTCAATAACAATTTACACATTAGGTATACTTAACGATTCATTAGTAATTTAAACCAGCGAATGTAATAATAAACAACAGCCAGAATCACTTATTAAATTACGTTTATTTGACAAATACCTACTACCATAATTAATTTACTGAGTTCATTACACATCACCACTATCCATTTGAAATCTGCGAGAGAAAACTACAACTTTTAAAGAAGTGGTGGTATGATTATGAAACCTATTTAAGTAATTATATCACATGTTAGATATCAGTAATAGGGAATCGGACAACTTGAAAACCTACGATTAATCTGATATTTTCATACAAACTCTATGAAAAACAGTATATTTCTAATTAATGGAAAATATCACCACTCAGTTGGTGTCCGATCCCCTATTCAATTACTACATTAGTAGTCGTTTTTTTAAGGCCAGCAATTTGAAATTAATGAAGGCCAAACAAAGATTATTAATTTATACAACCATTTAAACAACAAAATAATATTACAAAGCAAAGGAATGAGCTTGAGTGCTACTTTGAAAACTCACTTTTTGGCAAATCAAAACAATTAATAAAACATTGAGTTAAATTACGACTAGTCAAATCAATACGTCACAATAATTCTCAAAGTAACAAACAATGCTATTAAAATAACTTAAATAATATAAAAGTCAACCTAAGGTCACCTATTGTGGACAAAAATATAAAAAACGTTACAAAAGAGTCGTCGATTCTATTGAGATCTCCAAATGACCAAATACAGACTTGTAACATTTTCAACAAAAAACATGTGGCAATAAAATAAATGCTTTAATTTACCGGTTTATATTAAAGTATATGAGTCAATTTATAATTAAATTTCAAATGCCAAACAACAATAAAATTTAGTAGCAAACCAAACCAAATATTTCGCATAGCAACAGCACAACATAGTAAAAAAATTCAATGTGGCTCTTGTTAGCACTACATAAGTTGCAAATGTTCAGCAGATGTGCTTTCGTCCGTGTGCCTATCTACCGGGTAACATCAGCGTCGGACTGGCCATACAGTCGGGGTGGCATTTGCCAGCCGGGCCCCAGCCTGCGCGGGCCCCCCACGGCCTGGGTTGCGGGGCATGCGGCAACCGTAGCACAGGGGGCCCGCGCAGCGTGGCCCCTGTGCTACGGTTGCCCGCGTGCATGTCTCGGAAACTATGCGTCGTACAAAAAAATTGTACAGTCATAATTTGTAGAAAATTGCTTTGCCTACAAATATGTTAATATAACTTTTTGCCTTAAAGATTGAAGAAGTTATAAGCAAAAAAAAAATCCTTTTTTTTCTTATGTATATTTTCTCCAATTTAATTTAGGACAAAAAGTTATGTAAACACAGGGCCGTCTTTAACCTACTAGGGGCCCTGGGCACTTACGGATCAAGGGGGCCCTTGTCATCTAGAAGAAGGTATTTTGAGACGGACAGACGGGGGCCCCCTCCGTCGCGGGGCCCTGAGCACGTGCCTAAAGTGCCCAGTGGGAAAGAGGGCTTTGACCATTTATGTTTCTTTCATGAACACGAATTTAAAAGCAGATTTTTTTCAAAAAGTATCATTTTTTATTATTTGTTGGCATTTTCTGAGTATTTTATGTATTTTTTTAGTATCGTCTGTTATTTAGCATTATTACTGTTTTTACAGGATATACCTCTTAGTTTAAAAGTTATTACGTTTTCTTTACAATAAGTAATTGGAAGAAAAAAAAATGCTTAATTTCTTTTTTAATATCTCAAAAAATTTTTGACCTGTTTTTTGTCGATAAAAATAGATCTAGTTTCACCTAATTTCATATGTGCACTTTATCGTAACTCACACTGTATTAAATACAGAATCGGATCTAATCAAGGATTACGAAGTCATTAACAGCTTAGCTGAAAGTTCTCCTGTTTTAAAAAAAATGTTGATTGGCTAGCTTTATATTATTATTTGTTATTAGTAAATACCTACTTATTATTTTACTTTACTTTAGTATTGTAATAAATTTTTTACAATTTGTTTATCTCAATTTGTGTATCTCAGTATTTTTCGATAGTATCCCATCACCATGATCTAGTCTCGGGCCTCGGGATTGCTATCAGCCACCCGGGCCCTTCCGGCCCAGTCCGACCCTGGGTAACATTACTACTCGAAGTGTTAGTAATCTTTGTCTATTTATTTACATACAAGCTTTCCGCCCGCGGCTTCGTCCGCGTCGAATTTTGTCTGTCATAGAAAAACGTTATCGCGCGCGTCCCTATTTCAAAAACCGGGATAAAAACTATCCTATGTCCTTTCCCGGGACTCAAACTATCTCTATGCCTTTCATCAAGATCGGTTCAGTGGTTTAGGCGTGAAAGCGAGACAGACAGACAGACAGAGTTACTTTCGCATTTATAATATTAGTATAGATTCCCATTTAGGGCTTGCGCGCACGGGTGACTTGTCACCGTGACAAGTATCTTTCTCTTTTACACTTTTATAAAGAGAAAAAGAAAGAAAAAGTAGTACTTATTCTTATCTATGGAGAAATATACTGTCACGGTGACAAGTCACCCGTGAGCGCAATTTCTTGAAGTGGGGGCCAGAGTCACAATATCATTATACTATAAGGTTACCTACTGTCTCCCATTATACCCGTTAACNTGGAAGTCGGAGATGGCCTGTTCACGTTTTTTTACAATATACTTGATTTAGCAGCTATAAACTCGTAGTTCTATATCAAAAAGTCACAGGAAAAAAAATTCTCGTCATGATTTTATCCTTCAATTAGTGAGTGAACTACGTGAAGAGTGTGTGTAAAAAAAACCCACTTCAACTGCGACTCAGAGACAATAAACTAATTCTGAAACAAGTGAACCATGTACTACAAACAATAAGAGGCGGCAATGTCAAATCAATAGTAATTGTAAAAAAAATGAAACATGTGAAAACTGCACTATCTGTAAAAAAGCTGTTTGTGGAAAATGTACAAAAGAGTCTAAAAAAACTATTACTTGTCACAAATGTTACTAACTTTAATGCTAAATTGTTTACTACTATTAAAAATAAATTTGTATTATTTTTATTTAATTTATTTTATTTAAAATCTGTAATAATTTCATAAGTATTCTCACTTAATCTCTAGTACCGTCAAATTGACCGCTGCGGTCTTTGAAGGTATAGCATGCAGCCCGGCCCTTCTAGTGTTAATAAAACGTAGCTACTCAACTGTAGGCATACACTTAGGCTCGCATTTTTCGATCCAAATTGAAGCAAAGATTGCAAAGCTTGTGATTGGTCTGAATATTGAAATTGAAACAATCAGTCTTTAATCTATTAGGGGCCTAAGAATAGGATAGCAATAAAGGTAATATAAAAAAAGTATACTAAGAGGGAAACATTTGTTACGACCATACAAGACCTTATGCAAACTGGAACCCAAATGTTGACATAAAGTCGCGTAACAGTACTAATGCAGTAAAATTAACCTTTAAACTCATCTCAGCGCATTCTTGCGCCCCGATTGCGCTAATTTCTAATGTCTCCAATTCGTTCGCGTTTCAATTCCAGTCACACCCCATTTTCATTCCAGCTAATATACCTACATTTCGGTATCGCGATAAAGTTCACGCGTAAACAAAGACGAAATAACGAATTTATGCACTTTTCATTACAAGTCCGAACACCTTAGTCTTAAACTAAAACACAGCAATTGTTTGACTAGCGTGTGAGATTTTTCTCACACGCTAGCTTTCTGTCAGCTTTTACTCAAAGGCGCAGTTGCGCTTCGTTTACGTTACAACTTCGTTTGTAGCTGTCAAAACGACACCGTGATACGATACGATTTGTCAAAATATTTAGCGCAATCGGGGCCCTGATCTTGGACACAAGCTTCAAAGCCTTTTCAGCAGCTTTTTGCTTCAAATTGTTTCAGACATAAACTAGAAATTTCTAGTAGCACAGTTTGATTTTAATTCTACACTTCACCACTTTTTGTCACATGTGTAGTCACGTCAAATTCGGTTACAATGTGTTAGAGAAACCTCGAGTGCACTCTGGTGGAATTTGGTGAGAAGCTGCTATCTGGTGGCAGCATACTCGCGTCTCCGTAAACTGGTGATGACGGCCCGTTGGACGCGAATGGGCTTCTTGAGAACGTTCTGGAACGATTGAACGTGGGCGTCGTCTCGGCCGGCAGAACGGTTTGCACCGGCTCCATTGGTAACCGGATCGGTGATTTTCTTTGCAGTCTTGCTTGAACTACAATAAAAAAACGAATTAATATTCCATTATTCATTATTTTGAGCTACCAAAATCGACGGAAATAGAGGTCAAAATATAAGACTTACTAAAACTAAAATACATTACCGATATTTTATTATTTTCAAAGATGCGAAAAATTTACTTCTCTAGCTTAATTTTGCTAAAACGAGTCATTTAAATATAAGACTTACTAAAACTAAAGTACATTAAATTATTTTCAAAGATGCGAAAAATTTACTTCTCTAGCTTAATTTTGCTAACACGAGTCATTTAAATAATAAATCATGCTGTGTTTATCATAATGATACTTACTATACATATACGCCACAGCAATAGCAGCGACGGTCATCAAAGAGGGCAAATACGGCATCAGTATCGAGAATAGCGCTCCCAAAAGAGTCCCACAGGTGACGTCACATTCTCTCTCCACCTCCACCTGAATCTCTTGCGCTGTCAACTTCGATTTGACGTTGACAAGGCCCACGCCACAAGTAGACGCTTCGTTTTTGACAACAACGAAGATTTCTGTATCTTTGTGTGTTATATCCAGTTTCAAGCCAGGTGATGTTGTGAGTTTGACTAGTTTCAGCGCTCGGGGATGACCGGTGACGGCGAAAGTGGTGGGGGGTTTGAGGAGGGAGACTTTGGAATGGGAGACGGATATTTGGGGGAGCAGTAGGACTTTGGTGCAAGTTCTGGCGACGCCCCATTCGGCGCACAACTCCACTTCGGACGCATCTGTGATTGGCGCTGCTGGGATGATAGAGCAGCCGAGTTGACCTAAAAACATATTTTGCTGTTATTACAAAGTCCAAAGCCATACAGTTCTTTTATCATACGGCAATAATGTCTATTCTGTATCACTTGAAGTAAAGATTATTGCATAACTCAGTCGTCAATAGTAAATGTTTGTTAAACTAAACAGATCTTTAAAATCAATAAGTCGCAAGATAATGACTATGTAAAATCTATGGGAGAGCCACTTTTGACAGCTCATAAAACAAGAGTAAATACAAATGAGTAGGTTATCTTCATAGAAACGCACCGAGCAAGGTTTGTATGTGAGCGCGCCAATACGTATGCGGCGCGCACGCACACACTGACAAAATTTAGCGTGGATTAGCGGGGTGTTGCGCCGAATTTTGTCAGTGTGTGCGTGCGTTTCTATGAAGATAACCTACCCATTTGTATTTACTCTGATAAAACGTATGTCCATTGACTAGAGTATCAACTACTCTATGCAGTTACGTTATTCAGTCAGAATCACTGCGTAGCACCTCTACGCGCTTTAGCGGAATAGAAAAAAAAAGCGGGATCAATAAATAATGTTATACCATTGATAATGTCTAGCACAGGTTTAGCCATATGCGGCGCCTTGGTCCGGCACGCATAAGGCAAGTCCACCTCGACTCCATCCACGGCGTATCTTTGTTCTTCTGAACAGAGTAAAGGACCGCCACTCAGTAGCGAGGCTTCGATCGTGAGCGGTACCATTGATGACGGCCAGTCACCCGGCATGAACTCCATCTGAAGAAGGTTATTTAGTAGTAAAACTTGACGTTAAATTTACTAATGAGTATCGCTATGAGCAATTTTAACAATGGGCGGAGCCAAAAGAAAGTCACCCGTTATTTGTGTCAGTATTTATTTATCAATTAATCTGATAATAGGGAAAGGGACATGAAAGCATTGAGACTCCGAGAACAAGATGTTCAAGATAGAATCAAGTAGCGGCACATGATTAGGAAAGCCAACCCCGCATCGCAGGTTAAGGCGAGGCAGAAGAAGAAAATCAATACGTGCTAGTCGTATTATGCAATCAAAGTAAAGACCCCGGCACATCAATTTAATTTTGAGGTGGATGGGTTTTCAATTTGGGATCTTATGTGGTTGCAATATGTCATTTTGCAACAAAAGACGACTACTTTATGTCCCTTATCAAAGCGTATCAGCTGAACGTTAGCCGTGAGCGGTCTGTCGAACCGCAGTGCGAGTTTCACAAGTAAATTATGTCACAAGGCGCTTTATAAATCTGCCCCCAGCATTATAACCTCAGTTACAACTCACAATTCATTACCTAATGAAAGTACATACCTTGTCAAAGGGTATCTGTTGCACAGTAGCCGTAAGCGGCGGCCTGTCAAGCCGCAGGGCATGCTTAGCGGCGTGGTCCCGAGACAGTAATGCGAGTGACACGCCGCTACCGGCGTATAGATTCACGCCTGGTGGCGCACGCCAACCCACGCCTTCTAGGCAGATCGCCCAGCCGCCGGTCGCTGCGAAATACAAAGGAATATTATAAATCTACGTTTAATTTGAAGGCTCTGAGGCTAAAATTAATAGGGATTATCCTGCTTTCGCCTCCGAGATTTATTTTACCATGTAGTACCCCTGTACGACAACCCAATCCGCACACAATATTCAGCGTAGTAGTATTAAAAAACAAAAGAGCGGGCAACCCCACCCCTACCACGCTGTGGGCTCGGTGTCCGAGCGGTCTCATTCCTTTGTGCGCACGCGCAACGACCGCACGCAGTATAAGAAAAATGCTTAAGTGACGTCACCAGGACGTTTTTACCGACAAAAAACGTAATTATTTTAAGTTGTGCAGTGTAGTGACGAGAATTAGACCCAACAAAAGGTTGGTTGTAACAACTATTTTGTGCAAGTGCTCGTACATTTTTATTATAAGCGTTGTGACACGACGCGTAACTTTGACCCATTTTTAGCTCCAAGTTAACGCGCGATGTTAACCAGTAGCCATTTTTTTTGAATGATCAAACGAACTTACCAAGTGAAGTTCGATCTAAATTATCCTGTTTTCGCCGAAGAGATTTAAGGTCCCTCCCAACCCGAAGATTTCTATATCTTCTTCCCTGGAGGTAAACGTCAATGTCATCTCTTCTCTAAATATAATGAGACCGCTCGGACACCGAGCCCACAGCGTGGTAGGGGTGGGGTTGCCCGCTCTTTTGTTTTTTAATACTACTACGCTGAATATTGTGTGCGGATTGGGTTGTCGTACAGGGGTACTACATGGTAAAATAAATCTCTTCGGCGAAAACAGGACAATTTAGATCGAACTTCACTTGGTAAGTTCGTTTGATCATTCAAATATGCATCACTTTTAAAAGTAAATAAACACTAGTTAGATCATAGCAATTCTGAAAAACAAGTATTGAATCCAGACTGAAAACAAAAAAGATACAAGCGTTTAAACTTTATATGTAAATAGCTGATCTGATTCTAATATGGCCAATGATGTCACGAGACACGAGATATGACTTCAGACCGTGTTTTTAACATACCAAGAGTCCTGGATGGGTGAGCTTCGTTCCCAGCGAGCCACACTTCGTCTTTGACGGTCACGCCTCCCGCAGAACCCTGGAACGCCGCGAAGGCACCCGCCGGTTCCAAGTGCGTGATGAGGAGTTCGTTGCCGAGGGCACTGCAGAACAAAAAAACTGTCACTTGAACCAAATAGTTAGAACATTAATAGTTACGAAAAGTATTTAAAAAAAATCAGCTAACGTTGCTTAGAGCTGCTATGTAATAGGCTCCGTCTTTGTTAAAGCAGTAGACAAAATAATATGGAGCTTCAACTACACAAGATAAAGTTGACACCTACTTAGAACAACCTATGTGGTAGACCTAGGCGCACTCCCTGGCTGGGAAAGTCCCAGATAACCCACTGGACGTCCTTATCGGCCAGTGGTAAGCCCAAAGCATTTTCTGAGAGAGCAAACTCGGCTATCAACTACTCGTTTGCAGGGAGAGAGCGCCTCGTTGAAATCGCCTGTTGGCTGCCTATAACGTTCGACGTACGCAAAGCCAAGGTAAAAAAATGTGGAAGCCACGATAGCCGAACGATGACGGGGTCGGACTGGCCGACTCGTGATCCGGGGAACGCGGGTTCGGTCCCCGCCGCCGCTCGATTAATGTGGTGAGGCACTCGTGACACAAGCACGCTTAGTACGAGGGGCTAATGGGAGTATTAGTACTTCGCGTCTTAGAGAGTTCCGCATCACCAATCGCACTGCTACCTCATCGTCTCCCGCTGGCTCCATAGTACAGAGCCCCGATTACGGTAACTTTTAACGTTTCCAATCCAGACACGCTTCTCGATTCTGCGATACGATTGGTCGTTCAACAGCGTACGTCAGCTGTTTTGACCAATCGTATTGCAGAATCAGAAACGCGTCTGGATTGGAGACGTTAAAAATTACCGTAATCGGGGCTCTGTATTGGGGTAAAGCGACATACACAACGCTGCTGCCTAAAACTAGGGTAACTCACCTATCAGCCGCTCGCCTGACGTGAGCGAGCGTCGGAGCTAAAGCGGTGACGTTAGCAAGCGGCGCAATTAGCTCGCGGCCTAGAGAGTTCCGCATCACCAATCGTACTGCAACTTCGTCTGCGTCTCCCGTCGGCTCCGCAGTACAGTAGTAGTGGGGTATCGCGACATAAACAACGCTGCTGTCTTAAACTAGGGTAACTCACCTATCAGCCGCTCGCCTGACGTGAGCGAGCGTCGGAGCTAGGGCCGTGACGTTAGCGAGCGTCGCGATAAGCTCGCGTCTTCGTCTGCGTCTACCGTCGGCTCCGCAGTACAGTAGTAGTGGGGTATCGCGACATACACAACGCTGCTGCCTTAAACTAGGGTAACTCACCTATCAGCCGCTCGCCTGACGTGAGCGAGCGTCGGAGCTAAGGCGGTGACGTTAGCGAGCGGCGCGATAAGCTCGCGTCTTCGTCTGCGTCTTCCGCCGGCTCCGCAGTACAGTAATAGTGGGGTATCGCGACACACACAACGCTGCTGACTTAAACTAGGGTAACTCACCTATCAGCCGCTCGCCTGACGTGAGCGAGCGTCGGAGCTAAGGCGGTGACGTTAGCAAGCGGCGCAATTAGCTCGCGGCCTAGAGAGTTCCGCATCACCAATCGTACTGCAACTTCGTCTGCGTCTCCCGCCGGCTCCGCAGTATAGTAATAGTGGGGTATCGCGACATAAACAACGCTGCTGTCTTGAACTAGGGTAACTCACCTATCAGCCGCTCGCCTAACGTGAATGAGCGTCGGAGTTAGGGCCGTAACGTTAGCGAGCGGCGCGATAAGCTCGCGTCCTAAAGAGTTTCGCATCACCAATCGTACCGTTTTCTCGTCTGTATCTCCCGCCGGCTCCGCAGTACAGTAATAGTGGGGCATCGCCACATAAACAACGCTGCTGTTTTAAACTAGGGTAACTCACCTATCAGCCGCTCGCCTAACGTGAGCGAGCGTCGGAGCTAAGGCCGTGACGTTAGCAAGTGGCGCGATTAGCTCGCGGCCTAGAGAGTTCCGCATCACCAATCGTACTGCAACTTCGTCTGCGTCTCCCGCCGGCTCCGCAGTACAGTAATAGTGGGGTATCGCGACACACACAACGCTGCTGTCTTAAACTAGGGTAACTCACCTATCAGCCGCTCGCCTGACGTGAGCGAGCGTCGGAGCTAAGGCCGTGACGTTAGCAAGTGGCGCGATAAGCTCGCGTCCTAAAGAGTTCCGCATCACCAATCGTACTGCAACTTCGTCTGCGTCTCCCGCCGGCTCCGCAGTGCAATAGTGGGATAAAGCGACATACTAAACACAATGCCGCTGCCTAAAGCTAGGGTAACTCACCTATCAGCCGCTCGCCTGACGTGAGCGAGCGTCGGAGCTAAGGCTGTGACGTTAGCAAGCGGCGCGATTAGCTCGCGTCCTAAAGAGTTCCGCGTCACCAATCATACCGCCACCTCTAGCCCCTTTGTTATAGTCGGGTAAAGTGACATACTATAATGCTACTTTAGGGCTACAAAAAACTGCTCACTCACCTATCAGCCGCTCGCCTGACGTGAGCGAGCGTCGGAGCTAAGGCTGTGACGTTAGCGAGAGGCGCGATTAGCTCGCGTCCTAAAGAGTTCCGCATCACCAATCGTACTGCAACTTCGTCTGCGTCTCCCGCCGGCTCCGCAGTGCAGTAGTGGGGTATCGCTACTTCTACGTGAATGACCTACGGATAAAATGAAAAAGTTGAATCACTACATATTATAAAACAAAGTCGCTTTCCTGTCTGTCTCTCCCTAATGTATGCTTATATCTTTAAAACTACGCAACGGATTTTGATGCGGTTTTTTTAATAGACAGTGATTCAAGAGGAAGATTTTTAAGTATACATTGTACCTGTGCGAAACAGGGGGGTCGCTAGTTATTTACAAAACTCATAAACTAGAGGCTAGTGGACATGGCATACTATTTATTAAGTTACTTTAATATGTAGTTTTTATTTATTTCCTTACTTGTTTTTCGATCACCCTATTGAACTCAAGTGCTTGAACATGACCATAAGAGATCATGAGGGGCTTGTTTTTTTACGCACGTTAATGACTATACATAGCACTTATACCTCGCATAAAAAATGAATTAGTACTAAAGTCCCGTCGCCGAGTAGATACAATTGCGTACAATGACCCCCTTGCTGTGTGATGGGCCGTCGCAGTAAGTGTGCGGCACGATAGCAATATAATTACGCGCGAGCGATAAGGATGGGTAGCTTAGTTAGATTAAACAAAAGGACTCACAGTTTCTCTGTAAATATTGTTCCTCTCATCCTTATGCTGAGCCACTATAACACCGTGTCCAGGTTTCAGAGCCTTCAACTCCCCATTGGCACTGATTTCAAATGCGCCATCTTGGTACGCGTTCCAATTGCCTCTTGGCAAGGACTTGAGACGCAATGTGGAGCCGACAGCCACTGCAAGGCGTTCGGATGAAGACAGCTCTTTGGGTAGACCTTCTACTGAAGCCCGAATGTCGGATATGCCGAGGATCTCGATGGTACTGTCCCAGGATCTTGTTTCTGCTGCCTGATAAATAAAAAGGTGGGGTTATGAGCAATTCTGGTTATAGATATGTCACCATAGAATTATGAATTCCGTCAGATTATAATCTGACGTACTTAGATTACAATCCGACCTAAACTATCCCAGTTTTTTTACAATATCACGCGTTATATTATAAACAGACAGAGTTCACAATTTCACGTTGACAGATGTAAAGACTTCGACAAATGTGATAATAATTAAAGAAAAATCAATGCTAACCACGAAAGTAGCTGCATCAGAATAAAACAAAAATAATGTTTACCTGTCCCATATTCCGCACTCTGACGTCGATGGTGATGACTCCTGGTTTCAGAGGCACAACGCGAACTGACAGACCCTCAGCCACGGATCTTTCCAGCAAATCTGTGAAAAAGATTTGGCAAAGTATGTATCTGTGTTACATATGAATAAAACCCAATATACCTAACCAAACACACTTCTTCTCATCTTATCGCGAAGCGCTATGTGTGCGTTAAGCGTGCAGATACAGTCATTATGTGTGCGTGACTATCTTTTCTCGGACGACAACCGCCGAGTAACTGTCACACAAAACTGAGTTGCGGACTGTATTTTTCTACACGTGGAGCTAGACCGCAAGCGCGTGACGGGTCATTTATGCTTCCAGCTCGTCGGGCAGTTGGTTCGCCCGCATTCTTCTCTTCACTTCTCCGTTCTGCTTCCTCACTCCACCACCTCACTTCACTCACTATAGATAGAGTCTAACTAACCGTCAGCACGTGTGGTATACAGCCTCGCAGCAGTAGGGTCGCGCACAGACCACGTGAGGCGGGGCAGCGGCATCAGTGACGCTAGCGCCGAAGCTGGTAGTCCATTCGCTTCCACCCATATGGGGCCTGGCGACCCTACTAGCAGGCTCAGGGAGGCTGGATATCGGGATTATTCGGGTGGCGGAGCGAAGGAGCAATGCCTATCGAAATTACGGACTGTCTGTCCATAGACGCGGAACTAAGTAGTTTTTTTTTTAAGATTATTAGTAATTTGTTATTACACAAATAACTAATACTCCCGTTAGCCCCTCGTACTAAGCTAAATATGCTTGTATCACAAGTGAGCTCACCACAATAGTCGAGCGGCGGCGGGGACCGAACCCGCGTTCTCCGGATTACGAGTTGGCCAGTGCGACCCCTTCTCCGTTCGGTTATCGTGGCTTTAGTCAGTTGAGCGATTGTAGACTGAGTAGACTATTTTCTGTAAGTAGCGCTTCGTGCAAGCGACGAGTATTTTATAGCCTAACCCACTAACCGTCAGCATGTGTAGTATACAGCCTCGCAGCAGTAGGGTCGCGCACAGACCACGTGAGGCGGGGCATCGGCATTAGTGACGCTAGCGCCGAAGCCGGTAGTCCATTTGCTTCCACCCATATGGGGCCTGGAGACCCTACTAGCAGGCTCTGAGTGGCCGAAGGTGAATATCGGGATCATTCGGGTAGCGGAACGAAGGAGCAATGCCGAGCGAAATTGCGGACCGTGTCTGTCCATAGACGCAGAGCTAAGTAGGAAAGCGGAGTGGTAAAGTGCCGACTCAAGGACTGTTTTTTTTCTATACACGGAGCTGAGCCGCAAACACGCACAAGTCATTTATGCAGCCAGCTGTGGGCAATTGATTCGCCCGGGATCTTCTCTCCACTTCCACGTTCCACTTACCCACTCCGCTTCTCAGTCTTGATGGTTAGTGGATTTTTACTTCGTTCATCGCTCCGGTACTACGCTCCGCTTCTGTGGAAAGTTTAACTAACTAACCGTCAGCATGTGTAGTATACAGCCTCGCAGAAGTAGGGTCCCGCACAGACCACGTGAGGCGGGGCAGCGGCATCAGCGACGCTAGCGCCGAAGCTGGTAGTCCATTTGCTTCCACCCATATGGGGCCTGGAGACCCGACTAAGAGACTCTGGGTCGCCGCGCGGACTCGAAGACCGGATATCGGGATCACCTATGACAAAACGTTTCTTTACCTTTTTATTTATAGTCCGTGTCAATTTAAATTGCCCAAATGGAATATTGACAGCGAGCTATCTATCTAGTGCCTGCGGTATGGGAGTAGCAAGGAAAGGTGTTTTTGTGACGTCAAACATAAGCGAGACTTCTTATGTGCTTCAGATTTGTATGCTCTGTAACGTCACGTCATCCCTCCTGTGCTGCTCCCAAACAACAGGCACTGACTCTATGCGCTAGACCTGCAGTAAGCTATCTTTAGCAACAAGATTTAGAGGACAAGAAACTTAGCTATATTTTAGCCCCCTATAAAACTCTACGATGAACCCTTAGAAAGAGTTTATAAATTTAAATATCTTGGACATATCGTGACTGACAGCCTTAAAGACGGTGAAGATATTGATAGGGAACGTAGGGCGCTGTCGGTCAGGGCGAATATGTTGGCACATAGATTTGGTCACTGCACAGATACTGTTAAAATAATGCTTTTTAAAGCATATTGTGTGTCATTTTATTCGTGCAGCTTATGGACCAACTATACCAAAAAGGCCTACAGTGCTCTGCGTGTCCAATACAATAACGCCTTCAGGGCGCTGTTGCGGCTGCCGCGGTTTTGTAGTGCGTCTGCGATGTTTGCGTTGGCGGGTGTAGATAGCTTTGAAGCTATAATGCGCAAAAAGTGCGCATCATTACTGCACAGAGTGCGCAGCAGCTGCCACAGCGTACTGAAGGAGATAGCCGATAGTGGGGATTGTCCACTGATCGGCCACATGCTCAGCAGGACGAAGTCTGTTTTAGAAATAAGATACTAACATAGCCTAAGTTTTTACTAACATTATGGATCCCTGTTATCCGAAATAAATACTTTTTATTATTTATTATTAGCGTGGAGATTATGGCAAAACCCTCCACTATAGTGGAGGAGGCTCATAGTCCAGCAGTGGACTGTAAAGGGCTGTTGATGATTATTTATTATTATTTAAAAAATATCAAAACCATGACACTGCAATTCATCCCTATCCCCTAAGGTTGAATATAGACTAGAGCATTTACTTGTAACAGAACAACGAGCCGCTCTATAAAATATTCTAGTGATCGCCGTTTCACCTTCAAACAATCAAATGTCGTACATGCTACCTGTATTGTACCATTCGTAAGAACGTTACATTGCATAGAAATGCACTAGTCTATACTCATCTTTAAATGTTTAACTAGATACCTCCACTTCGGCCTCAGCACTGGCCATTTCCACGTGAGCGATATCCGTGGCGACGAGCCGCACCCGACCAGTGCCCGTAGACAAGCCATGGACCGCGCCCGATGATGACACCTGGCAAAAAAAAAACATAATAAAGCTGACGACATTCGAACGGTATATAACCAGCAAGGCTACTTCGAAACGCCGTTTACGTAGTTTCGGATATATCTGTCACTGTCGCTCATGCTGGTATCTCGCTTTGTGTGAGAGAGATGGAAACATTCGATCATCGGATTACGTTTTTAGGAGTAGACCCGCAGAAGTATTGTTACCCACAACGAATAAGGTCTTCTCTTTCGTCTCTGGGAAGACTCTCAAGGTAAACTATCACTATACTAGACTATAGAGGCTATTATGTGAAGACAAAAGGTTTATTGTTGCAGCAGCAGTAATCTAGCACAACGTACTTATGCTTGGCCACGGCAGTGACAGTAACGAGCAGTATCCTACTTCCAGTGGCAGTAATAAGCAGTATCCTACTTCCAATAGCAGTAACATTTTTTGTTCCAGCGGCGGTTGTAACCTACCTCAATATACTTATGCTTGTCCACAGCTCGGTAGTGAAGCGAGGCAAGATGGGCGGGTGGCCCGCCCTGGTGACGTAACTGTAGGCGGGCGCCGGGCGGCAGTCTTGCAGTGTCAGGAATAATGCGGAGAGGGAACACTAAAGCCTGGTCCGTGAGCACGTAGAATTTTGTCCAATGACCCCAAGCTACCCATCCTTATCGCTCGCGCGTAATTATGTTGCTGTCGCGCTCGCACACTCACTGCGGGCGCCCGTCGCACAGTCGCGGTAACCTCAGATCATAGAAGGGAATAGATGTGAAACGGGGGCGTGGCGCGTGTCTCCGCGATATGCCCAGAAACGAACATCGCCCGCGACGCCAGGTTAGTCGCGATTCAGTCGTACTGAGGAAATGTTCTCCGATATTGTTGGATAATGCGTCGTAACGTGCAATAACATAAGGGAAACGAAGAACTACAGGAACAATGAAGTCATTTACCACATGTAAGTATTGCAAATCCATTGGTATTTTGCTTATAAATAAAAAAAACTAAACATTTTTACGAACGAATTCAGTGCCGTGACATTTACTGCGATATCGAAATTAGTGGTGATAAAAATTCAAACACGTTGTACATTGACGATTTAGTTAGCAACCACTTTATGTCATGCGTAACTACTGCGCAATGTATTTTATTTCTTCCGATATCCACTGACGCGTGAAAATACACAGTACGGCCGCATGTGCCGGTCGTAACATAGTGCAGGGCTCGTGTTCTAATACGGTTTCCTATTATCGATAAATAGAAGTAAATTATTATTTTCTATTTTCTAATTTTGAATGAAAAAATCATGAGTTGCTTGCGATTTTTAAGTTTTTACAAAAACAATAACAATAGTAGAAGGGATTAGTAACTGTCAACTATGTAATTACTATAAGAGCTAGTTGAAAGCCTAATATAGGCATTATTTTTGATAAACATAGGCGGTACGAATTTCGCCATAATTAAAAAGTTAATGCGCGATAGTAGTTAATAATAATTACAGTGATCCTGTTATTATTATTAAAGTAAATAATAATATATTACCAATATTGTAAATACTGGTAAAAATCGCAAGTACCTACTTAACCCATGACTTTTCATACAAACTTTGTCAGTCTATAACTTCTATACTCCATCGATAACGACATTGAGCTTTGGTTGGGGTAAATTAATATAAGGTAACTTCATTTAGTCCCAATAATTGATTCTGAGTTTTTCGTCCATACAAAATGGAACTGACTCCTTTATGCAAAAATCGTTAAAGAACATAATAATAACGTATAATAATAAAAAGGTTTTCATACAAGCATTTTTTAAACCAATTTCGAGCCTTGCCCCCAGGATTTAAAGTATCGATATCTTATCGACTCCATTTTATCTTTCTTCTCTCTAATTGCTTTTTTCAAAGTGTGCGTCACGTCACGCGGCCATTGATTGGCCATAAGGCACGCCTTCTGGCCAATCACAGCACTTTTAAGCCGGTTGCACATGTTGTCGTAGACTCTCAGTCGCTTTGTTTTTACACAGTTGAATGTGTGTGTGGGAGCTGTGGTGGGGGAAATGTGGGGACACTGGTTCTCGTTGTAGTTACGCGCGACTTCATATCTATTCTCTTTCTATGATCTGAGGCGGTAACAGTGGCAGTAACGAGTAGTGTTCTACTCCCAATGGCAGTAACGAGTAGTGTCCTACTTCCAGTGGCAGTAACGAGTAGTGTCCTACTTCCAGTGGTAGTGACGAGCAGTAGTCTACTTCCAGTGACAGTATCGAGTAGTATCCTACTCCCAGAGGCAGTAATGAGTAGTATCCTTCTCCCAGTGACAGTAACGAGCAGTATCCTACTCCCAGTGGCAGTAACAAGCAGTATCTTACTGCCTGTGGCAGCAACGAGTAGTAACCTACTTTCAAAAGCAATAACATGCGATATTGTATTTCCAGCGGCGATAACCTACCTCAATATACTTATGCTTAGCCACGGCTCTGTAGTGCAGCTGTGGTGATAGCTAGATATATCAGTTTCACCGGCACTGACGAGCAGTATCTTGCTTCCAGTGGCAGTAACATTTATTGTTCCGTCATTTCATATTATTAGTCGTCGCGACATGTCGCGGAGTCGCAATGACAGCTAATATATGAAATGACGCGCGCATGCGTTTCCTGGCCGCGTCTGTCGCCGCGTTTTGTCGCCCAATGTGTGCTGTCGCTTATTGCTCCGGCGGCGGTAACCTACCTCAATGTACTTATGCTTGGCCACGGCTCTATAATGCAGCGAGGCAAGATGGGCGGGCGGCCCGCCCTGGTGACGAAGCTGTAGGCGGGCGCCGGGTGGCAGTCTTGCAGTGTCAGGAATGATGCGGAGAGGGAACACTAAAGCCTGGTCCGTGAGCACGTAGAATTTTGTCCAATGACCCCAAGCTACCCATCCTTATCGCTCGCGCGTAATTATGTTGCTGTCGCGCTCGCACACTCACTGCGGGCGCCCGTCGCACAGTCGCGGTAACAGTGGCAGTAACGAGTAGTAGCCTACTTCCAGTGGCAGTAACGAGTAGTGTTCTACTCCCAGAGGCAGTAACGAGTAGTGTCCTACTCCCAGAGGCAGTAATGAGTAGTATTCTACTCCCAGTGACTGTAACGAGCAGTGTCTTACTCCCAGTGGCAGAAATGAGTAGTAAACTTTCAGAGGTAGTTAACATGCGGTATAGTAGATCCAGCGTCGGTAACCTAATTCAATATACTTAGCCACGGCTCTATAGTGCAGCTGTAGTGATAGCTAGATATATCAGTTTCAGCGGCACTAACGAGCAATATCCTGCTTCCAGTGCCAGTAACATTAATTGTTCCGTGATTTCATGTTATTAGCTTGTCGTCGCGACATGTTGCGGAGTCGCAATGACAGCTAATATACGAACTGACGCGCGCATGCGTTTTCTGGCCGCGTCTGTCGCAACGTTTTGTCGCCCAATGTGTGCTGTCGCTTATTACTCCGGCGGCGGTAACCTACCTCAATGTACTTATGCTTGGCAACGGCTCGGTAGTGCAGCGAGGCAAGATGGGCGGGCGGCCCGCCCTGATGACGAAGCTGTAGACGGGCGCCGGGCGGCAGTCTTGCAGTGTCGGGAATAATGCGGAGAGGGAACACTAAAGCCTGGTCCGTGAGCACGTAGAATTTTGTCCAATGACCCCAAGCTACCCATCCTAATCGCTCGCGCGTAATTATGTTGCTGTCGCGCTCGCACACTCACTGCGGTCGCCCGTCGCACAGTCGCGGTAACAGTAGCAGTAACGAGCAGTATCCTACATCTAGCGGCAGTATCAAGCAGTAGCCTACTTCCAGTGGTAGTGAAGAGCAGTAGTCTACTTCCAGTGGCAGTAACGAGTAGTGTCCTACTCCCAGGGGCAGTAAAGAGTAGTGTCCTACTCCCAGTGGCAGTAAAGAGTAGTGTCCTACTCCCAGAGGCAGTAATGAGTAGTGTCCTACTCCCAGTGGCAGTAACAAGTAGTATCCTACGTCCAGTGGCAGTAATAAGCAGTATCCTACTTCCAATAGCAGTAACATTTTTTGTTCCAGCGGCGGTTGTAACCTACCTCAATGTACTTATGCTTGGCCACGGCCCTGTAATGCAGCGAGGCAAGATGGGCGGGCGGCCCGCCCTGGTGACGAAGCTGTAGGCGGGCGCCGGGCGGCAGTCGTGCAGTGTCAGGAATAATACGGAGAGGCGGGAATACTAGGACCTGAAATTATTTTATTTTATTTTATTTGTACAAAAACACATACAGAGTACAATCAACAAGGTACATTTACAAGTTACAATCAACAATAAATACAGTTTTAATCTAGATTGTAATCCAAAAAAGTGTTTCTGACATGTTCAACAAGGTATGTTTAATAACATTGGATTTTAATAAAAGTGCATGCTGTGTACAATTAGTGCGGACAAAGCATACTAACATAGTGCATCAGATTTAATAAAATTAATAACATGTTAACTACTTCAAATGGCAAGATTATGCTCAGTACTTTTTGGGCACATTTGTGTATTCCTGTTTGATTCATTTAAAACCTAATGTGTGACTAATAAATGAATTCTTTATTTTGGAAAAATCTCTTCAATCTATTTCCCACTTTGGTAGGGAGAAACAAAGAAGAGTTGCAGAGGTGGGGACGTGAAGTGGGATTATTAAAATAATTTAGCAATACCGATAAGATAAATTAAACCCTATCGTTATGTGTAACTGTTGCCAAGTTAATCTGTGATATGAATCATTAGTACTTTGAAAGCTGATCTCATAATCAACTCATTTTTTTAAAGTGCATATGCTACACTACAGTGACATTGTTACATTCAACAAAATGTTACATAAGATGCATAAAAACATCTCGAGTCTACTTACCTCAACTTCAGGACTCCACACGCCGCCCAAAGACGCTCGCACCCTTCCTGTTCCCTCTTTAAGCCCACAGATCGTGCCGTCTCTCACTAGCACGTCGCCGCTCACTCGCCACTCGGGGGCGTGGCTTGTGGTAAGGTATCGGTGGGACACGCCCTTCACTAGAGCGGTAATTGGCACGCAGCCTCCGACGCAAACTGCTCGTGAAGTTGATACCTCTACGCTGAGGATTTCTTCTACGTGAACCTAGAAATTAAAATTGAGGTAAAATCAATAACTAATTTGTAGCGAGCGAGTTTATTACATTCGGTAAAAAAAAAATATTTTCTTTTTCTAAGAATCGAATCCAGATTTTCAAATATTTCATAGACTTTCTATGAAATATTACGATTGATTTGATATTACGATGGTGTGTGTCATCCTATTTTATTGTATGTTTCACAGAGCACTAAAAAAAGACGGTTCCTCGACTAAACGAATACAAACTGCGTATACCTGGTTATAAGCCAAAATTTTACTACTAAAAAAAATCAAGAGTATTATTTGATACACCATACAAAAAGTTACATTCTGGTTGAACTCTAGTTTAAATTGTCATTTAGTATGGGAAATGTCATTTTAAACCAGTGTTCGTCCCGAGTTTAACTTTTTTGTAATAACACAAAGTTACTGAATACAAAAAAAATACAGAAAATAGCAATCCACATACCTCAACGAACTGTTTCTCTCCCTGCACACACAGGTCCGTTATCAACAGATCGTATGACCCGGGCCCGGGCACGTTGACACTCAACGCCCCGTCTAGCACCGTGGCTGAGACTCCTTTCGGGGCGTCCACAGCGTAACGGCCGCTACCGCCTGACACTAGAATGACGTTGTTTACTGTCTCTCCTTCCCACGCTACGTTGACCTGAGAGGAAAATCAAAGTGTGAAAATGTATGTATCAAATATAGTATAGTATGTATGTTATCAAAAAAATGTCGTAACAAATTATAATATGTTACCAGTGAGACGAAAATGTTATGGAGGTCAAACCCAACTGCTTTTACTATTTTATATTTTTTTACATAAGTATACCAGATCCAAAACATGATATCATAAATCATAAGAAATGTGAACAAACTGTATTTTTAATAGTGGAAGTAAGTAATAATAATAAGTATACATGTACTGTTGGTGTACCTTTCCAAATAAATAAATAAATATCATGAAAAAAAAATCCTTGACTCATCAAATCAAAAATCAAAATCAAAATCAAAAAATATTTATTCAGTTTAGACCACAAGTGGCACTTATGAACGTCAATAGAAAATAATAAAAAAAGAAAAGGTAGCCCTTATGGGGCACTTTACATGTCTCCTTATCTTTTGGGCCCTGCCAGCGCTTCGAGACAAACATATGGCAAGTGCTGAGAAGAAACGCCGGAACAAACTCATAAAACTAAAAAATATTTTTACCGGTTTTGATTGGTTTATTTTCAGTGAATAACTTTATTTACTTAGGTGAATAGCTTTATGTTTCACCTGTATTACCTAGTGTCATTTACACAATTTCGCAAACCAATTTTTTATGACTTAGGGATTTAGCTTGTAGTAGCTAACTAAAATAAGACTTCATTATTTTTTATAATAAGTTTGTTACTCATGTAGATAACCCACGTGCACATGAAATATTCAACCTCGATAAAGATCATGGATATTTCAAAAGGAACCACAATGTATTTACCTTCAACGGGTCACACTTGAGCGGTCCAACCACTCTAGCCTGGATGCTGGCGGTCGCTTCTGGGATGCTTATTTTGAGCGCGCCCGTCCAACCGATGGCTTGCTCGTCGGCGACTACCGACTACAACAAACAAAATTATTTAAATTATTGCTGTAAACTACCATTGAAGTACAATGAGTTTGTCAATTAAGAGACATTTTTGGCTTGTTTTTTTTATTCAACCTCTCTGCATCTGCATGTTTTCAAATAAATAAATAATAATTACAAAAGAAACGGCATGAACCTCGATATTTACAACTATGACGATTAAGCTTCTTCTCAGAAGATTCCTATGACTTTTTTTATTCCGCTAGGTCCTTATCTGGCTTATAATTCTGCACACTTCAATGGGAATATAATTACCAAAGCACAAGGAGCATACCACGCGATTGTCAATGTTTGCAAAATAACAAGGAATGTAAGCAAACTATACCTTACCTGATAATACTTGTACGGCACTGGCACGGGCGCATAATCAGGGTGAGTTTCAACAAGCAGTCTATCAGTGGATTTGTACTCTATGCCCGGGTGGTGAGGTTCAAGATCCCACGTCGCTTTGGGCCCGCGCTCGTCTAGCAACTCCCTGCCGATTGCGTCTAGCAGTACCACTCGTACTGTCACTTCGTGCCCTGGTCGCAGCCATACTCTGCAGGCAAAACATTGTATTGTATCAAGATTACGATAGTAGAGGAAGAACCTACAAGAAACGCCAAAAGTTTTGCATTCAATGGGAGCCATTATAATTTAAAACGTAAAATTATAAAAGTTTTTCCCCAGAGCACTGGCGACAAGTGACGCAATAAAGTCATATTATTTACGAGACAACCGACCTCTTAAACACCAGTACACGGCACCTTTTGGCCAATACTCCTAAAGATTATTAAGTCTGTTCTCTTATAACAGATGAAGGTGTTCATTCTTTTGTTTACTTTCTTTTGTCATCAATGTCAATATCAAAGTGTTTGCAAATAAACGAATTATCTAATTCTTTCTAACATACATAATACATGTACAGTATGTACACTTACCTAGGTCCCCCAGTACAGTTGCCGGGCGTATCGGACGGTTCGAGTCGTACGCGCGAAACGAAAGGCGCGCACGCGGCTTCAAAGTCTGCTGATTCCCGCTCGTCGTCCGCGAGGGAAACCAGCTCCAAGCGAGAGTCGCCTTTCTGCACGCAAACAATAAGGTATTTTATACACTGCGAGTTATTGCAGCGTTGCAAGCGAGAAGTCTCGACGTAGAATCGATTAATCTTTAACTTTAGGACGCTTTACTACAAGCAACTCATTTACGCCCGATTCCCATATTCAATCCTTGTCCAAATCCGGATTACAACTGTCAAATTGAATTCAGTTTTAGATTATATTTCCAAAATTTTCGATGCATTTACACTTTAATATTGTTTAAATAGTGTTATAAACAATATAAAAATGTAAAAACATCAAAAACCGCAGTTATTTTGGCCAAAAACATATTAAAATTTGACAGTTGACAATCCAAATCCGTATAATTTGGATTAGGATTGAATATAGAAATCCACCGTTAATCTCAGCCTCAAAAATATTCGATTGTAATGATTTAAACTTGCTTATTGAATCTGTATTTACGGGGTAAGCGGTTTTTCTTTTTTAACCTTCTTTTTGAGCTTACTATCGAACGAGTTTGTGGTCATATTTGATTAAAAGAACAAATAAAATCCAAGGAAACATAGTGATTACTATACAAGCTGTAAAACTTACCCTGCGGCACTTCAGAGTGAACAGCTGTATATCCGGGTAGCGGTGAGGCGTCGGTCCATCGCGGCCCGACAGCTCTACTATGCGGGGCTCGCTCGACTGAGGGACCAGGGCTTCGCCTTCTGCTAACACCTGGAATAAAAATGTCAATCATGGAATTGGGTTATTATATTTTTAAGTAGTATTTGGGGTGGTTTTATCTGTTTAAACTAAATTATTATGGTTTTTCAATCACGCGATCAAGTCACCGTTAGCGGTGAATTCGGAAATGAATGTCCGCATGTTACCGAAGGCGGTCACACGATACAATCTATTACAAATTGTCGCAGGTACCGACCACTCGTGGCAGCTACCCACCACTATCGTGAGCGCAGTACCAAAGGCCGTGGCACGTAACAGCCGATATTGTGGTCGGTGCCCCGTTAGCGTAGAGCGTCCAGCAATAGCCCCTGGAGACACGCGCACCGTGGATACGCCGCGCGTTGTGTACACGCACTCTATAGTCCAGTCTCCAAGCACGTAGAATTTAGTAAAAAGACCCCAAGCTACCCATCCTTATCGCTCGCGCTTAATTATATTGCTATCGCAACTGTGCGACGGGAGGCCGCAGTGAGTGTGCGAGCGCGACAGCAATATAATTACGCAATAAGGATGGGTAGCTTGGGGTCATTGGACGAAACTCTACGTGTCGCAACTGTGCAACGGGCGGCCGCAGTGAGTGTGCGAGCGCGACAGCAATATAATTACGCGCAAGCAATAAGAATGGGTAGCTTGGGGTCATTGGACGAGATTCTACGTGCTCGGCGACCGGATTTTAACACGCAGGTACTCACAGGTAAAGTAGCACCAACTAACGCGGCGGCAGCGTGTGGCCACAGCAACGCAGGCGCAGCGCGCACTGCAACCCGTGTCGTGTCGCCTGCACGGCCTCGGGACACGCGAATCGTGGATACACCACGCGTTGTGTATACGCACTCTAGCACGCAGCAAGCACCATCTACAAACAATAGTCATCATCGTCAGGTCATAAAGTCTCCACTCATAAAGGTACCTAATAAAGGTAGCAGGAAGTTGCTGGATGCAGGCCTCTATACAGATATCATTGGCGGAAACCTATGTTCAGCAGTGGACTTCATGATCATCATCATTTCAGCCATAGAACGTCCATTGCTGAACATAGGCCTCCCCCAATGCTTTCCATGTTGATCGATAGGTAGCGGCCTGCGTCCAGCGCTCCTGAGTGGACGTCCTGTGGCTGAAATGAAAGTCTCCACTGCAGAAGTAAGGGCATCCGTTAAAACTCGAGCGGGCGCCCGCACTCTATAAATAGTATGAGCAGCGCATGCGTATGACGTGATACGTATACACATTCGCGCTTATTATTAAAGCACAGACAGTTCAACTGACGCAAATGTTTAATGAACAATATTGACATACCTGCCGGCTCAACCCATTGTGCGGATGTCACATTATGTGGTTCGGGGCCTTCCAGAAGAGACACCGCGAATGACCCGCAGTTGCACCTGAAACATAATATAATTTTAAATCTCTGTCGGACGGAACCAGTGCTATATTATGGCTGTGTCAACTTTTTATCATAATGCAATGAGGGCTGTTGTTTTAGCGCTCACCGGATGCAGTTGGCGCCACTGTTAAATCACTGTAACTCGCTAGCGGCGCCAACTGATGAGCACTCAAGCAAAGGAGGACTATCGCATTTGCACTCACCAGGATGGCGCCACTTTAGAGTCCCTACTCTACCGGCTGGTGTCAACTGTTAAGTATAAAAACGATAGCCCTCATTAGAAAATCGGCAAGACCTGGAGCGAGACCGAACGCGATGGAGGACTGTTGTGGACGCCCTCTGCCCCTTCTAAGGGACATAGGACATTCAAGTCAAGTCCTCATTACAATATTGTCAGTTATTGGCGCGGACTATAGTACGAGTAGTTAGGACTCACCTGTGGTAGTTTTACAATATTGTCAGTTATTGGCGCGGACTTCAGTACGGCTAGCACGAAAACTTTCGAGTTCAAATCATTTGCGTATTCGAATCGCCATCAAAAGATTTAGTACGAAAACTGCAACAGCGCCCTTGTGAACATGTCGTAAAGTGAACTTAGTGTGAGAAATGGTTGCACGGAACTTATTTTGAGAATCAAAACTGTCACGTTATCGTTTAATTCGAAGATTGAGTATCGAATTTTGTCGAATACGCAAACGATTCGAAGTCGAAAGTTGTTCATGCTAGAGGTACAATAGTTATTGACTTACCTATGGTAGTTATAGTATTCCCCAGTGACAGGGTGCGTGGCCGTCAGCGCTATGTGTAGCTGGTGAGGGCGGCCCACGCGCGCGTGCCCCGAACTGGACACTTGGACTAACTCGGGCGGGATGGACCAAGCTCTGACGTCACAGTTACTACTGGACTCACCTGTGGTAGTTATAGTATTCCCCAGTAACAGGGTGCGTGGCCGTCAGCGCTATGTGTAGCTGGTGAGGGCGGCCCACGCGCGCGTGCCCCGAACTGGACACTTGGACTAACTCGGGCGGGATGGACCAACTCGGGCGGGATGGACCGCACTCTGTGACGTCACAGTTACTACTAGACTTACCTATGGTAGTTATAGTATTCCCCAGTAACAGGGTGTGTGGCCGTCAGCGCTATGTGTAGCTGGTGTGGGCGTCCCACACGCGCGTGCCCAGAACTGGACACTTGGACCAACTCGGGCGGGATGGACCAACTCGGGCGGGATGGACCGCACTCTGTGACGTCACAGTTACTACTAGACTTACCTATGGTAGTTATAGTATTCCCCAGTAACAGGGTGTGTGGCCGTCAGGGCTATGTGTAGCTGGTGCGGGCGTCCCACACGCGCGTGCCCAGAACTGGACACTTGGACCAACTCGGGCGGGATGGACCAAACTCTGTGAATATTTAACGTGAGATTAGGTAGGTGTATTATCCGACTAACTAGGGAGGCTAGGTACTAGCATTAATGCCAGCAGATTTTGTTATAACCAAATTACGTCTATTGTGCAATAGCCTCTCCAAGGATTTGCGATGGTCCCCGACCTTCACAAGATCGTCGAACCGATTAGGAAACCTGCCGCTTTGTTTACGTACAATTTTAGACTCCCGTTTTATCTCCTTAGGAGGTGAATTTTGGTAGGCCTTTTGTTAGTAAATGCCTACGTCAGGATAATTTATCTGTCTGGGGGCCATATTTCATAATCACAAAGTTACATTCCGCGATGTCAACATTCAATAATTTTCATACCTATCACTAAAGGAGATTAAAATGCATAGAGAAAACAAAACTCACTTTCCAAAAGCACGAACGTGCGGGTAGTTTTTCAACTGCACTTTAACTTCGAGCTCGCCTTCGCCGCGGACGCTCACAACGCCAGCGGGTGTGAGCGAGATGGCATTCGTTGTCGCCTTCTCGCTCACCGACCAAATGACTGACTCGTTACCGCCGCCGATGTGTTTTAGCGGTACCTCTCTGTGAAAGAAAAATAAACATGAAAAATATTTTCTAATTATTTCCATGAGTTTGTTATATTATTCCTGTTAACCCTGGCAGCTATGCTAAATAATATATTATGCTTGGTGTTAGGACTTATAGTCTTTTTCACGTAAAATGATCCGTATGACACTTCAAGGTTATCCATATTACGCATACTACTTAGGCAGAAAATTTTTGAAAAAATATTTGTATTTTATTAGCAATACACCGTGTTACTTTGCATTCTTGCCATATTCACAGAGATAAAAGTAGGTAACAATACCTATTATTTAAGATAAACAAGAGACTCCCATAAAGAAAGTGCACTAAGATTTTAGTAAATTTGGTTTTTCAGTACAAATTGGAATAAACCAATTTTGTCTCGCACGTTCTACAGGAAGCAAGTGGAATAAACCTAGTGGGCGTGGCCTAGTTCTTAATTTTATGGCTTTGAGTACCAGCCTTTTTATCCAGTCATAATAACTATTTTAAAATACTCTTCAGTTGATTTCAGATTTTCCTTTCTACTTTACGGGCTTAGGACCGTCAAAAATACGTAATAATTAATAGGGTTTCAATTAATTTACAACATTGTACCCTATTTTTACAAATTAATAAATTAAGTATGAAATGAAATCACCTTATTCACAATAAATTATTTATTTATAAGTTCCTACTTACAAAGTTTACGTACTGCGAAGCAAGTGTTAAAGTGTCCTCCGTTCTGATGAAGGCACAGTCTAGCACGGCGAAGCGTAGGTTTTTCGCTTTAGTTTTCGCAACACATAAACGTTTTGTATCACAGTTTCACTAAAACAATCTAACGCGTTTACACTGTTTATCTCTTCTGCGCATACCAGTCGTTTCGAGTCACTCCAAACATCCATTGGTGTCAGGTCCGAGGATCGTGGAGGCCAAGCTACTGGACCCCTCGTCCAATCCACTGTTCACCAAACGTATTATTCGCGCACTTGACGTCCTTATTGTGGGGGAGCACCATCCTGCTGGTAGTAGAGCATTTGGTGTAACGCTAAGGGTACGTCATCAAGCATTTCGTCTAAGACGTCTTGCAGACACTTTAAGCACCATTTTGATTAAATTATTCGTTGTTTGAATACACTTCAGTCATTTTTGTATTATTTATAACGTGATTTGTGTTTGATGGATTTCTCAGGTTTTTACAAGTGTCAAAAAGACATTTTAAAGACAATAGATATTTAAAAATACAATAAAAAGTAAAAAAGTCTCCATCGCCATCGCCAACAAGTGATGTGCATGCGTTACGATAATTAGTGGTGTGTTTAACAGATTATCGATAAAATAAAATACTCAAGATTAAAAAAAAATTTTTTCGGGCATTATTTTTTTACGGATTTGTGTTCAGTATCAGTAATATAGTAACCTCTGTAAATATGGCAAGAATGCAAAGTAACACCCTGTATAATAAAAAAAAAACTACTTGTCTTGAAATATGTAGTAAAATCTGAGTCTATTGATTTATATTTTAATTAAATAANTAATTATCGGATGTACCGCGCGGAGTGAGCCAGGCCTGGTTCTACTAACTCTTCGAAAAAAATCGATAGATAAATCGCTATGGTTTAGTTATGTGACATCTCTAAATCTTTCAAACTCGAAACGTCATACGGATCATCTTAGGTGAAAAAGACTATAGGAGTTGGCTTTACGACAATAGTCTAGCAGATGGCGATCGGCAATCCGACACCAACGCAATATTGAGTTATTGTAGCATCAAAAAAAACTATTTAGAAAAAACCAAAGTATTATAATTATACATACTGAATAGTGTCAGTCCAAGCCACAAAGAGTTCCGGTGGAACTATCTGCAAAGGATCCACAGCAACTCCAGTCACAGTTCCTTCAACCTGAAAAGCCATTAAATAAGTCAATATAAGTATTCTATCTCTTTCCATTGAATTGATACAGTGGCTTGTCCTTAATAGCCTATACATTGGACTACAATATTTAACTTAATGTTTGTCATTTGTATTGTACATAACAACATCTACAACTCACCTTCTTATGCAATAACTTCCCTGCAATCGAATGCAGCTTAGCGGTTACTTTAAACTGGCCGGCATCAAGCGCGACCGCGTCGGTAATCGTTCCATTCTCCGTAGATCTGAGCAATTCCACATTGGCTTCACCGTTCACTGACAAACGAATCAGTGTTTCTTGTCCCGCGAACAAAGTATGGCCGTCTCTGTCTAATACAACGCAGTGGATGACAAAATCCTCTCCTCTTATAAGAAGTTTTGACGGTCGTAAAGACACTCGTATGCTGTGAGGTTCAGCGATCGTTAAAGTTGCAGTGGTCACTTCTGTAGACCCAGACATCAAGGTGACAGTGGTGCTTCCGACCTCGGTTCCTCGGACCAGGCTGATTTTGTCCTCTAAATATGCCAGTCCTGTATCGGGAACAATCATGTTGTATAGAGTATCGCCGACGTCTTGAACTGTTAGACGGCCGGCACGCATTCTTACGACCCTGAAAATAATAAAGACTTATTTTACTGTCGGGATAATGATAATAGATAACATAATACGAATAACATAAACTCTGCACTTTTTTAACATCAACAAGTGGAAAATTGGAAAGCCTGTAAAACCAAAGAATAATAATAAGTACTACGTAGTAAAACCAGTAAGCTCTGGTTTAAAAGTTTTTTCACACTAAAGATGATACTTGACTTCTCTGCTTTAGAGTAGGAGCACACCGTTGATTTTTAGTTGGCCGATAGTTGTGCCCGATTTTAAATTGTATGAAGAATCGGCCAAATCGAATTGGCGTAGTGTGCGCACTCCCATACATGCCCATGCTGATCAACTGCCCGACTAAACTATCGGCCGACGAAAAATCAACGGTGTGCGCCTACTCTTATGCTACATACAAAAAGGTACAGTATAATACAGTAAATTATTATACATAGATGAACTTTAAAATACTTAAATGGAACTTAGGATGGGACTGAGGATTTTTTCATATTTTATAGGCTTATCAATGGCTATAGGAAAGTAAGGTTAATTTATTCTCATAAAAAGTCACCACAAACTCACTTGTATCGTATCGTATCTCCAGGCGCGATGTAAGCTGTAGCAGGAGTCAATACAACACTGGCCACCACTTGCAAATGGAAGTCGGTACATATGTCGTCCAAGCAGACGGTCCCGCGCGCGTCTCCCATTGCCTGACCATAGAGCAGGACGATATAGGCGCGGAGCCCAACTGCCTCTAGTTCTGTGATGCCGCGCGGCGCTTCGTAATCTGTGTCGCGCCAGCGGACGAGACTGGAGTGAAACAAATGAAGAATTATGAGTATTTGTGAAGTTTAAAGTGTAGTACATTAGGCATGATATCTGAGTTACTATTCGCTGGGTGCGAAGNCTTGGTCGGGCTAAAAGAGTGACCATAGAGTTATAAGTGGAATAATGACGTGTGCATATAAGAGCTCTTAAACATAATCGACACGAAAACTACGAATCGTAGAAACTCACGGTGCAGTCCTTCGTCAAAGTTGCACCCATTTTTCGATAATTAAAGATGACAGACGACATTGAGGTTGATCATTTTATATTCGACGTCGACAACACATCATGATACAATGCTGAGTCGACGCACGAGGCGATATCACATTGGATTTATGTGTAAGACCGTTATGAAGATAACACTTTTTTGACTCTTCGGATCATCGAATCTCAGAAACGCTGACTCTTAGGAGAAAGTGTATAGACAATTTTGATAGATAATTGTATGGTCTTAAACCTTGTCATACATATTTTTGTGATAAAACTTACCGTTTGGCTGAAAATCTCAAAAACCCGTATTTTTTAAGTTTGACCTTGAATTTTTTTTTAGCACATGTCGGATCGATGGGGACTTTTCACAGTTAATTTATAATGGTGCTCCGAACATTCGTACCAATTTTCAGCTGTATGCGAATTATTGCAGGGTTCATGTCTAATTTGACTGGACTACTAGCATTAAAACCAAAAAGAAAAGGCTAGTTTCTGTTTTTACTTTTCCTAAAAAACTAAATTTATGTAATATTTTTATTTTTAAACCCTCTCTGTCATTTTCACATTATTTACATAAGCTGCTGGACGTGACGTCCTTGTATACGGATGCACTGTCTGGCACGATCGATGCCATGCCTCCGGACCGCACTGAGCACTTCGGGTTCACTCGACATAACATCAAAAAATCTCGAAAACTAGCATTCTAAAAATATGGTTGTATTATCTAAAACGAATTAATTTAAGATGTTTTATTTGTCCCTTAAATATCGTCTGTCTTTTGGAGGTGACCTTATATGTATTATGTAGAAGCCAGCTTCAGCCGATCTGGCTCCAGTCGTAACAGCAGTCGCAACCTTACGGAGTGACCCTTTTCTTGGCATAGTGCATTTAAAGATACGTTGACTAAAACAAAAATATGGGGGAGAAACCAAAAATTATTTCAAATATTTTTTAAAAATAACGTTAGCCCAAATACTACAGATTGTGCGAAGTACTAGGTGGGGGTAACATAATCTATCGCAGCGCTCATGGTGGTCAAAAGTAGAAATAATGTAAGCTCTGTCATCAGATGTATCTGTCAATGGCAAAGCGATTCTACACAATACATTTTAATATCATTAATTAATCGCATGAAAAGGGTCCTACTGGGAACTTAAATAAAAGAGTGGACTGTATTTCGATAGGGCTGGTTTAATAGCCGTTTACAATTTGGAAATAACTAGACTATACAACGTGGTAGTACAAAAATGAGTCGCAGTAGTTGTTGTGCACAGATGTTTACCTTATGATGAGAGCGTGAATTATTGAACTCTGCCCTTGTTTTGTTCTTAATTCTTCTACATCTCGGACTTGTCCAGCCAACATCACCAACTTTCCTTTAAATACGGTTTGTGGTTGGAATTTGATATTATAACACTCACAAACCCGGTCTTCAAAACAATACTCATTTCGATCTGAAAACGATATTTAATTTATTACTAGTGATACAGGAACATTTAAATATATTTACTTTTATATAATGAAACCGTTAAAGTAGCTTTTTCTTTTCGTTTTACTGTAAAACTACAATTATAAATGAAGTAAACAAACCCTGACACAATCAAAATTAAACACACTTTTTGGACTTACCTCATTTGATTTGAATGACCAAAATGATTTCAAAACCTTTTTTCCACCCAAATCGTGGTATCACAACAATTTATTAGTCGAAAATATTTGTTATTTTTTCATTTCGATATTTTTTCACAAATATTTAATAGCCGTTTACAATTTGGAAATAACTAAACTATACAACGTGGTAGTACAAAAATGAGTCACAGTAGTTGTTGTGCACAGATGTTTGCCTTATGATGAGAGCGTGAATTATTGAACTCTGCCCTTGTTTTGTTCTTAATTCTTCTACATCTCGGACTTGTCCAGCCAATACCAACAACTTTCCTTTAAATACGGTTTGTGGTTGGAATTTGATATTGTAACTCTCACAAACCCGGTCTTCAAAACGATACTCATTTCGATCTGAAAACGATATTTAATTTATTACTAGCGATACAGAAACATTTAAATATATTTACTGTTATATAATGAAACCGTTAAAGTAGCTTTTTCTTTTTGTTTTACTGTAAAACTACAACTATAAATGAAGTAAACAAACCCTGACACAATCAAAATTAAACACACTTTTTGGACTTACCTCATTTGATTTGAATGACCAAAATGATTTCAAAACCTTTTTTCCACCCAAATCGTGGTATCACAACAATTTATTAGTTGAAAATATTTGTTACTTTTTCATTTCGATATTTTTTCACAAATATACGACCTAAATGTCAATGTGACAGAGCCCACAAAGTTGTGGACGCTAGTTGGCGCTGTAATCGTGCACGGAGTCAATAAATGCGTGCGATTATAGCAAGCAAATAGGGCGATGGAATGTGAAATTAGTGTATAAAGTCATAATGTACTTAATCAAGAACAACCCAGTAAAAAAACTAAAATCAGAAGCAGATGTTTGAGACACATGAAAACCTAACATAAGTAGGTAACCTACAAAGAGAAATATTGTTTTTAAAAGCAACTCCAATAAACGTAATTCAATTTAAAAAATGATTGAGTTGTTGAACATGACAAACAAATACTTACGTCACAATATTGTCCTCTCCAGCGGTGCTGCCTACATTCTCTATAGTCCAAGTGAAACTGACTCCATCCAAACTAGAGAATCTGTTACCTGTGATATAAAAATTCACATTAAAATTACGAACAAACAAAGAATAAGTTACTAAATAAATATATCACTAATAATAAGATAACTTGATTTGTAAGTAGCATTGACTCACTAGGGCTGAGTTACACCACCTTATTTTAACTGTAACTAAAACCATAACCGGTGTTTTTGTATGGAGTTTGACAGACATCAAATGTTTGCTAAAGTAAGATGGTGCAACCCACCCTAGGTTATTGTTTCTAACAAATTAGACTGGACCTCGAATAAAGATTTATAAATAAAAGATAAAGAGTAGATACCTTTGTCATCATAAGCTATGACTTCAAATGCCTCAGGAGCCTCTTCCAAATACAATTTCATAGTTGTACTCATAACTTTTAAAGAATGGATTTTATCAACATCCACATCACCACGAAGTAGCTGAAAACACACAGAAATTATAATTATTTAGTTATGCTACATAGACTTGGCATAAAACCTTAATATTTACTCTTTTAGGGCTAAGACTCAGCCCAGTCTCTATTTCATTTTGATCTCACCTGAAAGTAATTGATTGTAATTTCTTGAATGAAACATTTATTTTATGTAAATATTCTGTTCTCAGAACACCCAGGTTATCGAAAAGAGGTATTATTTAATACAAATTACATATTCCCGCCATTTCCAAAACTTTCGTGCTTACCTCGCCAGTGTGGATTTCCTCGGCCAGGATAATGACCGTGCCAGGCGCGACGCATCTCTTGGACACAGTAACACGCGCAGCCCGCGAACATCCATCTTCGTACAAAGGTTCAAGATCTATGATGTCATCGCGAGACAAACTCCTTTAAATACACAAAATTACAGGTTGAATTGGATTAAAAATTAGACAGGATTTAAGCTAGATAGTTTATAAACATTTAATATTGCTTACCAGGTATAACAACCCCCCTCGATGATCTCAAAAGTAAAATTAACATTCAAATTATCAAACCACGGCAAGAGAACTCGCGGTGTGTTTATTTTGGCGCTTTCACATGGGCACATACATAAACACAATGCAAAAGCAAAAACCACCCTTTCCACCGTAAATGCCATTGTTAATTTGAGTAATTACATAGGAAAAACAACTTTAATTTGCTATTCAACCAAATATAACCTAAAAACGCAACAACTCGCTGAATTTCGAATTGAAATGTTTGACATTCTACTTTTTAAATCAAATGTCTCAAAAAACGTTCAACAACAGAAAAAAATAATGTAACGGCTATGTCCTCGACAAAGATGACGTTCAGCCTACTTATTTGCTTCACATGCTTGCATAGAGACAAGAGAAATATTAAAAAACAAATATGTCAAAATGGTAGAAATGGCTGCTTGTGTTCGTCATAGTTTGTGTCGTATTTTATGTGAATTTTGTAAATATAACTCAAGATGAATGCAGAATTGAATAGAAATTGATCCAAACTCATTTAAGCACTGTATAATAAATATACACATACCGCGCTAAAAATATAAGACACCACCATGTCGCTTGACAAGGCTACAGAAATAAAAGGCAATGAGATCGATAAAAGCAAACGTCGTCATAAAACTGACGACACTGTTGTTGCGACAGCGGCAATGAGTGGTGGTGATGATACATTGCAATATACAAAGATGGAGAATGTTGATAGTGCAGGGAAGCCCACGGAGTTGTGTTTACAAGGCAACTCGCACTTGATGTCGAGTACCACAAGTAGTTTGGCTGATACGCCCGGTGATTCTGGTGTTTTGTGTTTAGATAGTGAAGCCTCGGAAGCTACAAGTCAGGCTCTTATGTCACACAGCCTCATCGGGGCCGAGGAGTTAGCCTGCGACAGCCAGTATGACGCGCCACCATCCTGCTCGCAAGACATGATCAAGAGCACCACCAGCAGTCTCATGACTCGCAGCGACATAGACAATCAAAACATCGGAATTCCCGATGACATAGTTCCAGAACTTCTGGTCGAAACACTCAAAAAACCATATGAAAATCTACCAGATGTAGTTTTAAAGGCATTAGAAAGTGAAAAAGTTTGTACAGATGAAGTGAAAAAGCCTGCATTAAGAACAAGTGAGCCTAAAAAATCTTTGTCAGAGGATATTGTTTATAGACGAAGATGTAGAAAAAAGTCTCAAAGTGGCCCCAGTTCACAAAAGAAGAGAGTTTCCTTTCATGAAGATATTTTGAATAATACCAAAACAGACAATATTCATATAGAGAGAGGATTTGTGTCGTATGGTCCTGATAGTGCGTACTGTGATAGATTTAGACAAAAGAACAATATAGGTGTGACTGATAGGTTCTCCTGGTGTGCAAGTGGTGACAGGACACCCAAGTATGCAGCTGATGTGGCCCAGCAGACTATGTCTGACATTCTGACCTATGGTGACCCAAAAACAGACAGAAGTGGCATATTTGAGTACTGCCAGAACTTTGAACAAGAAAACCAAGACAATAATGATAAAGAGAACAATAATGAATCAAGACCTACCAATAAACTTTATGGGTGTGATTCAAACAGCTCAGATTCTAATTTTAGTTGTGATTCTGAAACTTCTTCCACTGATTCATCATCCTCACATTCCAATTCAAACAAAACAGAGACCACTCTCCTGCACAGGAAATGTGATAAAACTCAGAAATCATATTCCTGTGATGGTTTTGAGAATAATGGGCATGTGGCATTTATGAGAAAAACATATTTCTCTGAAGCAGATATTGATCAGTCCCATGACCGCATGAAAAAACCTCTAGAAGTATCCCAAAGCCCCAACACTGTGAAATCTGTTTTGAAAAAGAAAAGGTACATACCAACAAATATTGTGGAGGAAAGAAAACAAAATAGGAAACGGCTGAATTTACTTGATGCCAATAACATCATGGATTCTCTGAAGAATTTCTATAAGAATTTTAACTTTAACTTTGCTCCCGAGAAAGGCTTGCCTGAGAATAGTTTAGAATTAAACAATGTGGTTGAAGCTTTGCCCTGTGATGTGAATCAGAACAAGAGTCTATCCAAAAGTTTAGATTCTGGCATTCAAGCTGGTGATGAAGATGACTTTGTTGAAATCAATCTAAATGGACACCCATTAAAGGCTGAAAAGCCAAAGGATATTACAGTATCATCCAAGAATAATGTGCCTGGAGACAGGACACCAAATGAGGGATCTCCTCGGCATAAGCTGACTCTAAACATGAAGAATCAACTAGACAAGAAATCCATGAGCAAGGCTGATGCATTCCCCCCAGTCACAAAATATGTTGTGAATTGTGAGAGCACTGTTTATGAACACAAAGGTGTCTCTTACAGCTATGTACATGACACATTCCAGACTGCTTTTGATGCCCCTAAAGAGACATTTGTTCCAATCCCTGAAACTACTCCAGTCAAGGAGCTGGTCTCTAGTACCAGTAAAACAGACTTGACTCCAAGGTTCTCTGATATTGAAACATCCAGTAGGACATCAACTCCTAAAAGACAGTTCAATAAAAACATTCAAGATGAAACTGAACAGAAGAATGGTGTTCCCAAGCATTTGTCGTCACCTAAGAAGCAGAATGTCAATAGGTACAGCCGAAAATCAGCATCTACAATACAAAAATCTGCTGCAACTGATGAGCCTGCTCAAGCAAACAGTGACAACTGTTCCAATACTGACAATTCTACCCTAAAAGGTGCAGAGGACTTCAATGAGGAATATTTTGACAGCCCTGCCAATCAGAAACTACAATCAAATAAATCTGCTATGTTGAATAGGTACCTAAAGAATGTCTGTCAGAGAAAAGACCTGGAGCTGAAGATAAAGAACAATAAGTTCTTTCAATTCAAACTTAGAATGGAAAAGCATTTTCCCAGCATAATATTTCCTTTCAAAGATGTATCCAACACATTCCATGTTTCCGCTGAGAGAATGTCAAGGCTCATAGACAAAGAAGTGATTGAGAACAAAAGGTTGTCGGTGAGAATGCTGACTGCTGATGAGCCTTCCTACTTTGACAGTTTTGAGGACAATGTTGCTATTGAATGCAACGAAAAGTTACGGTTGAAAATCTTCACCTACCCCAATGAAACGTTACATAGGGTAACTAACTTACTTTGTATTATTTGTGATCTGTAAATAATGCCATTGCAAATATTAATTAAACAACTTGGTTTTATCTTTGTTACAGATGATGAAGGTGCAATCTCCTTACAATATGGAAGATGGTTCATGGACACCTCTTCTTGTATTCATCACAGACTATGCTTTGTATGTGGCCAGTGTGAAACAAGGAGGAACCGAATACGAAATCTTATGCAGACTTCCCCATAACGAACTTGACGCAATTGCGGTGAGTGACCCATAATAGCTGTGACATAAGAGGCTTCTTTACTTAACAACAATATAATTAAGTTATTTATGGCAAATTATCCCTGATAAAAAATGATTGCTGCTAATATCAATATAGCATAAATTTATCTCAAACTGTTATGACTACACTTGATAACAATAATATGTTTGGCCTTAATATTTAACATTGTCAGTACATTAAACAAAAAACACTTTCACATTAGAGCATATTATGTTTGTTCACTTACAGTTTTAAAATGGAAAGTTATCTTATGGCTTTCTTTTTAACGCTCTAAAACCTATGCATAATATCCATAGTAGTTGTGCTCTACAAAATTAAAATGTTTTGTTTCTAATATTTCATTATAGTGGTTGGTGGTTTATGACAATTTTGTGATTTCATTGATTTGATTCAACTTGTACAAAATGGTCTCAAAACCGCCATTGATTTGTGAGATGAATAAGAAAACTCAAAATAATTAATGAAAGTTTTCTCTTTCATCAATCAGTCTGTTAGTTACATTGCAAAAACTGCTAGCCAATTTTGATGTACCTTGGAGAGAGACATAAATAAAAGGATAGGCTTTTGTTGAAAATAAAACTTCTTAAAGAAGATGAAAGTTTGCCTGAGTTTTCTTATACACATAAGGATCATTTGCCCTTAGATAACATTTAAACAGAATGTTAGGCGTTAACTCGCGATTATCCTGCAGGTTGGCCCAGACCACCAATACATCCAGATAGTGGACGTAGCAGGCAACATAGCCTGCTCAGTGGTGACCGCTGAGTCGTCGCTGGGCGCTCGGCTGGCGTCTTCCCTGGAGTGGAGCGCTCGCACGTCGCCGCTCAGGATCTCAAGACCGCCCGCCATGCTGCCTCTAGACTGCAGGCATCTGGCGTCCGCTGTCGCTAGGCAGAGGCTGGAGAGACGGGTATGTAATGAGCTCTATGACTATAGCAATAAGGTACAAAGCCTGCTCAGTGGTGACCGCCGAGTCGCTGGGCGCTCGGCTGGCGTCTTCCTTGGAGTGGAGCGCTCGCACGTCGCCGCTCAGAATCTCAAGACCGCCCGCCATGCTGCCTCTAGACTGCAGGCATCTGGCGTCCGCTGTCGCTAGGCAGAGGCTGGAGAGACGGGTATGTAATGAGCTCTATGACTATAGCAATAAGGTACAAAGCCTGCTCAGTGGTGACCGCCGAGTCGCTGGGCGCTCGGCTGGCGTCTTCCTTGGAGTGGAGCGCTCGCACGTCGCCGCTCAGAATCTCAAGACCGCCCGCCATGCTGCCTCTAGACTGCAGGCATTTGGCGTCCGCCGTCGCTAGGCAGAGGCTGGAGAGACGGGTATGTAATGAGCTCTATGGCTATCAGCGTTGCCAGACGTCCCGATTTTGGCGGGACGTCCCGATTTTTAAATCAAATTTAAATGTCCCGCGCGGGACAGGCTCGGTCCCGCTTTTCGGAGAGAGACACTCACTTCACCAGACTATTTATTTATTTATTTATTTATTTATTTATTTAGGAAAACCAGGGTTTTACAGTGTGTAATAATAACATAAGATAGGCAACGAGTAAACCACTTATAGGTTCCCACAGGTAAAAACAATTTAAAAAATTTAGTGAGCCTTTGCACCAGGGTTACTACATACTACGTACTACACTACTATAATATACTATGTAATACCTAAATAAAAAGTATTGGAAAACATTGCCAAACAGAAAAACAATTTAGTTGTCCTTAAAAAAACGGTCGCCTAGCTTTCTCCTCGCCACAGCAATGCTAGTACAAAATATGTCGATGTTAGTCTCCTTGACAAATTCGTTCAAGTTCCTACTCGCCCGCCAGAGAAAACTATTTTGCCTGTAGTTAGAGTCTACCTTGGGGATGTATAGTGGATCATTATTGCGCAGAATTCTTTTTGGAGCATTAAATTGAATGTTAGCTAGGAGTTCAGAGCAGTCAATCTCAGCTGTGATAACTTTTATAAGATATGTGATATCAGATATTTCACGCCTAATGGCAAGAGGAAGGATGTGGTGCCTTTTACAGATGTTAGAGTAGTCCGACGAACTATACTGTGATCTGGTACGGTAACAAATAAACCTTATAAACTTTTTCTGGATATTCTCCAAGCGAGAGACGTATGTTTGGTACCTAGGGTTCCAGATCTGCGACGCATACTCAAGGTGACTACGCACAAATGTGCAATATAGTATTTTAAGTGTCTTTACCTTGTTAAAACAGACTGAGCTACGCATTACAAAACCGAGAGCCCTTGACGCCTTAGCTACTATGCTATCTATATGGTCATCAAAAATCAGTTTGGAATCGTGTATCACTCCCAATTCGCGAATGGATGTCTTCCTTTGTAGAGTTTGGCCACCCATAAGGTATGGATACAATTTAGTGTTTAGCTTGCGACTGAAAGTTACAATAGAACATTTAGAGGGGTTGAGATCCAGTTTATTGAACTTACAGTATTCAACCAGACGTGACAAGTCAGCCTGTAGGGCAGCAGCATCCCGTTCCGACGCAATTGTGGAGTAGATTTTCATATCGTCTGCGAAGCAGAGAAGGCGGGAGGAGTGCAGACAAGAGTTAATGTCGTTAACAAATATGACAAACAACAACGGGCCCAGTAAAGATCCCTGAGGAACGCCGCTAGGGATGGGTATCCAGCTGGAAATGTAATTGCTCACCACCACAGCCTGAGATCTATTTGAGATATAAGATGCGAACCATCTAAGAAGGTCACCTCTGATTCCAATCATTTGAAGCTTGTCCAGAAGAAGGTTGTGATCGATTCGATCAAATGCTTTGCTGTAGTCCGTATAGATTACATCAACCTGCTCACCAATATCCATATTGAGGGTTAAGTAATCATTAAGCAAGACAAGATTTGACACGGTCGAGCGCCTTCTCAGAAAACCATGCTGAAAATCACTAAAAGAATTTCTTAGAGCCTCATACACCTGATCGTAGACAACCTTTTCCAGGACCTTCGAAACTATACAGAGCTTGGATATGGGCCTGTAATTAGTTACTTCCATCTTGGATCCACTTTTATGGACAGGTGTAATAAAGGCCTTTTTCCATAAGTTGGGCACTAAACCTTCAAGAAGAGATCTTTTGAAAAGCATAGAAATTGGAATCGCCAAGCTTTCAGCGCACTGAATGAGTAAACGAGCTGGAAGGAGGTCAGGACCGGCTGATTTAGCAGGGTCCAATTTTAAAAGTAGCCTCTTGACTAATCGTGGGTTAATTTCTATAGAAAAAATGTCGGCCGTGCCGTTTGCATGAGACAAGCCAGTTGCTGAGGTAGTTTGGTTCGTATTTGAGTTTAGAAAAGTTGACTGAAAAAACGATGAGAATGCATTGCATATACCTACGCCAGAAGTAGCCATAGTTGCATTATATGTCATACTACTAGGGATAACACTAGAACCACCTATTGTTTTAAAAGCCACATTATTCTAAAGAATAAAACTTTTTTAATTTTTTTCTTTTTTTATTCTAAAGACGAATTTAACGATAGAGTAAATCTGATTTAAAATATATTTTTTTTGTTATAATACATTTTCTATGGCTACTTTTGCTATCTATTGTCACGTAAACGTAATTTTAAGTCAAATAAAAAGATAAATATTTGAAAACCTTTGATTATATACGTTTTTTTACTATGTCCCGCTTCTAACAGAAGAATCCCGCTTTTTTCACTCAAAAAGTACCAAAGTCCCGACTTGGCGAAAAAAAAAACTGGCAACGCTGATGGCTATAGTAATAAGGTACATAGCCTGCTCAGTGGTGACCGCTGAGTTGTCGCTGAGTGCTGTGGAGTTCCAATCGAGTTTTAAGCGTCGTTTCAGAATGATTCTGGGCTGCATTGCAAAACAATACCTATACACTTCATAAATTCTGTCTTATGATTGGTCTGGTTCTTTTTAGTTGACTTCCTGTCATGGTATTTCGATTGTGGTCTATAGGGAAAGTTGTTGTAAATGTGGTTGTATGAAGTGTCATCTTTATCCAAAAACAGTTTCATTCATTCATGCGCATTTTCCTCCTTTGTTATTCACTCTATGCCTATGGTTCTAATTTATACAGTCAATAGGTACTAGTGTTGATTTCCTTATTATGCAGCTGTAATAATTTAATAGTCTAGACCCAGCTAGGGACCGTATACGGTAGCTATGACTCATCCTAAACAATGTTGTGATATAACAACATTGTGCTGTGTTATGTTAACATGTATAACTATGATTAGATCGTCCAGTTAAAGAATAAGCGGTGACATCATTCATTAAAACTGTTTTCATGTTTATTTACATGCTAGCATTATCCTACTGCTTGAGCAGCTTGATCTGCGTAAATTACCTATGTTTTTTGTTTTAAAAATAGTCGTTCTAAGAATGCCAAACAAACAAGCAGCTATTTTTACTGTCATTCATGATGGATGACGTCATCATTCTCAGTTGTAAACACAGACCTTCCCTTTAGTTAGACTGCAAATGCGACGGGTTGCTACTTGCAAGCAAACTACCTCCTGCAGTCTTCTTAACTAGGTCATCAGTCTACCTTACTGTTGTCACTGCTCACTCACATTCTATTGAATATCAATCTTATTACTCCATATGCGCCCTGATGCTGTTGTTGTTATTGTAACCAACCACTCTGGTCAGTGTGATGACAAAATAACTTGATGACGATAGTCTATTGATATATTATGTAGTTAAACTATACATATTATACCTTGTTGCGTTAGGCCCAGAACAGACGGTGAAACGCAACTGCAACGAAACTGCAACTTTGTGATGATTGTGATGAATGAAACTGAAACTGAAAGTTTAAAACTGGTCGCGTCATGTGTGGTCTCTCAACGGACGCTATGGCAGAAACTTAGATGCAACTCAAAAGTAACTAGCAGTTGCAGTTTCGTTGCAGTTGCGTTTCACCGTCTGTTCTGGGCCTTAAAGTACCGGTTACGCTGAGACCATACATGACGCGACCAGTTTAAAACCGGTTTGAAATGGTCGCGTCATGTGTGGTCTCTCAACGGACGCTATGGCAGAAACTTACATACAACTCAAAAGTAACTTCGTTGCAATTGCGTTTCACCGTGTGTTCTGGGCTTACTTTTTTTTGCATTTGCGTTTCAGTGATAGAATCAAGAAAAGGAATGTAATGCATGTAATGCATAACGTATAAAACTGTGCGTCTGTTGTCTCCAGATACCCCAGATCCTATACTACGGGCGCGCGTGTTCCGGCGACGCGGGCGACCGCCTCATCGAAGCACCGGGTGCCTTCGCCCCGCCTCTCGAAGGCTATCTCATGTGCCGGACCGACAAGACCCGCCGGTTCGAGCCCTGCTACTTTTTGTTGAGGTAATTATTATATTGTATTAATTTAATTAAGACAGCACTTAGTTTTAAGTACTTTTAGTTATAGTAATTTCATGTATGCGTGTTTGTCTTGTTGGTTGTCCTAATAAATAAAATAAATAAATAAATTGTTTTAAATACCACGCCAATACGTATGCCGTGCGCATGCACACACTGACAATATTCGGCGCAACACCCCGCTAATCCACGCTAAATTTTGTCAGTGTGTGCGTGCGCGCCGCATACGTATTGGCGCGCTCACATACAAACCGCGCTCGGTGCGTTTCTATGAAGATGGCCTACTCATTTGTATTTACTCTGCTGATATGGAGACGGGTGAATTTAGAAATCCCAAAGATTTTAGAAACATAAGTACTACTTGCAAGGAAACATAAATTATTATATTCTCACCCTCAAAAATACAGTAATTTTCATGTTTAATTCAATATCCGCTTTCTTTTAGTTATTAGGTACACATAAAATAACGCTTTAGTAAAGTTAGTGATTATAGTATGCAATATGAGTTGACCTTTATAATCATTATTGTAACTTGTTATAAAATCAACAAGTGTTATAAATTACAAAAGGCAAAAGGAATTATGACTTCATTCAGTAATGAGCGCATTAGCCTCTTTCAACGAATAGATAACCCATCTTATTGACATAAGAACTCATAAATTGTTTGTTTGCAGACTGTAATAGGTGGCTGTTGAAGTAATTTATTAATTTTTTTTTATTATGATTGCATAATTTAAAATAATTACATTGATAAGTAATAATATAACACCCTTATGAAACTCCATAAGAGCCAAAGCAAACGATGCGTTGCGGCGCCGCACCGCAAAGATTTCGCCGTATCGCGCGGCGCGGCACCGCACCACTTGTATGCCCGACACAGATATTTCTATGGAAATAGAAAGACACGAGTCTTAATGCGACATTTATGAATGAAGACCCGTGTTGAAATGGAACGTGAAAGTTTAAAATCTTATCTTTCTATGGAAGATGATGCAGCGACACCGCTCCATCGTCGCACCGCCGCGACTCGTCTAAAATTTTCACTCTCTTAAACAGAGCTGGTGTTCTCCACTGGGGTCCCCATTCTCCAGACGGCGTCACCCCTTTGCCAAATAACATCGCGCTTCGAGCAGTGGTGGGAGTGAGGAGGCACCTGGACTCTTCCAGACGTCCTCACTGCTTCGAGATTGCGTTGGGAGACTCCAGCCGCCTGCTGTTGGCAGCGCCTGATGATGCGACGGCTTCTTCGTGGCTACAGTCGTTGCTACTTCACGCGGCCCAGGTAAGATAACACACATGAAGTATGTATTATATTAGGATAAGATGTTTAAGTTGCGTACGTTGACGGATTAGCAAGCTGAAGTGACAGTGGACAGGGCACATAGTACGCAGAACTGACGGCCGATGGGGCAGCAAGGTTCTGGAATGGAGGCCGCGTACCGGAAAACGCAGCGTGAGACGTCGACCTGATAAAGGTAGCAGGAAGGCACTTGATGCAGGCCGCTATCAACCGTGCGATGTGGAAGTCATTGGGGGAGGCCTATGTTCAGCAGTGGACGTCCTATGGCTGAAGTGATGATGATGATGAACATAAGATGTTCTCCTAAATTGAATATCATATGGTCGTGTCAGTTTTGCTATTTGGCCTATCCCTAACCTTGATTTCACATTTCACCATTATCGATATACCTCCAACAGACTTGGTCACAAATGCTCACATGGATCTGTCCGTGGTTTTATATCAACTCGCGAAGGTGACCAGTATCTTCTTTTCCGACATTGCGCTGATGTAGTGTTCTCACATCTGAGCCAATACAAGTACAACAAGATTCTAAAGCTTCAACAAAAACTCCCGATCATAGAGCACACTAAACTTTTAACGATTCTATTGCAGGCCTTAGAAGAAAAAGACGGTGTGAAGAAAGTGGACCCCCGGGCCGGGGAGCCGCCGCCCGCCTGCACCGTCCTGGTCACGCCCACTGAGGTGATCAGTGTCAGAGACACCCTGGATTTGGCTTTTGTGGCCGGCGCCGCTGCTTATCTGAAGGACCGGGGATCCGAGGCGCTGCTTAAAGGTATGATATATTTGGACCGAGATATTTAACAGGGTTTTCTCAGATGGGGAGTGCAAACTGCCATGGGCTCGCTAGTAATCGTAAACTTAACCTTTTTAGCGCCAATGACGGATACATGCGTACATGAGGTTGACCGCCAACGACGGATTAATCCGTCTTAAAAATGATGTCAGTAATAGGCTAATTGAGTATTATGTAAACTGAATAATAATGAATACAATGATTATATTGATATCATAATTTATCAAGCGTGACGTCGCCGTGATGGCTTTTGTATTTGGCGTGGCGCTGAAAAGGTTAAAGGTACGGTAAAACGGTACGGTAACTAGCTACGAAATGGTCTTAAGGCTGTTCGGTTTGGTACCGACCGACTCCTATTTAGCGGGGTTTTCAAATAGGAGAGAGCCATAGACTTGCTAGTGATCGTAAAGGATTCGAGACAAGAATTACCCATGTGTTGTCAGTTGTCAATGTCAGTCAATTGCAGGGTTACTAAGCTGAGAAGAAGCACACTGAGAATGTGAACAGCCATGAGCTTGGTAGTTACTGTATAGGTTTCGCGACAAGATTTGATCCATCACATTACCAAGTGTATACCTACGTCGTGACACTAGCCCGTTATGATACAGTGACCCCAACTAGTGTTCAGAACGTATCAAGATTTCTTCATTGCCACAACGCGTTGTGAGCTGTTACGGTCTATGCGCGTAACCTATACATCAAATGCATTTGTTCTAAAACTAATTTATAATAAAATAATATTATAATTTCCATCTACGGAGCAACATGCTAGTTACCATAAACTTGCAAATTACTATGTTCCTAATATAATACCTAGTTATTATGTTAAAAGGAAACCACAATTAGAATTTCCTATAACAGCTAAGGAAGTTATGTAAATGAATGAGCCGGTTTTACGTAATACCGACGTAAATCGATTCAGGATTTTCAACAATATAAGGTATTTCAACAATAAAATTATTTTACAATAAATAATAAAAATAATGAGTAATGAAAATTTATGTATAGTATCGGTACAATGACTTTAAAATATTACAAATAAATTAAAAATTAATATGACAGAACAAACTGATGCATTTTGTTTACATATTGGTAAGAGAAGTAATGAATAACCTTGAAATAATCGTTTGTAATTGTATACTACAAAGTTAATTAGATATATTTGATAACATTGTTTTGCTAATAACAACTTTATCATAATAATATCAATATCGTTCGTCAACAGATGCAAAGTTATCGTAAGTTATTAGTATGATCGGGTTTATAGTTTTATCATTGAACTAGCGGCCCGACCCGGCTTTACATGGTTGCAATGGAATTTCTCGGCTTTTCTCTTCTTTAATATGCATGTTTTATACATATAAACCTTCCTCTTGAATTACTCCATTTACTAAAAAAAAACGCATCAAAATCCGTTGCGTAGTTTTATAGATACGTAGGGACAGACAGACAGGAAAGCGACTTTGTTTTATGATAATAATATGTAGTGATTAATAGTTTATTTATCTTGTTGCAGAATACTTGGAAGAAGTGAGAACTGACGTGGAGATCCTTGCTTGCGGATCCATCAAGAACTTGACGGCGTTCAAGATTCCCGACACTGATGAGAACTGGTGCTGCTTGGTATGTGGGCTAAGCTTGTTTAATTTCATCATCAACATCATCATCATCTCAGCCATAGAACGTCCACTGCTGAACATAGGCCACCCCCAATGCTTTCCATGCTGCCCGGTTGGTAGCGGCCTGCGTCCAATGCCTTCCCGGGTGGACGTACCACGCTGCGTTTTCCGGTACGCGGCCTCCACTCCATAACCTGTTAATTTGTGAAAGCGTAAAATGTTTTTTTTTGCGTGAGCTGCTATTCTGGTTCTATGAAGTTCCTGTATCACTACGACCAGTACCAATCTATTGTGATCGCCACTGTTTTCCTTACAGTTCGCTTCCGAGTCCTGCATCCATTTGGTAGTGCAGTTAGGGTTGCCAACTATACTGTTTTGAACAGTATTATACTGTTTTTCACTAAATTATACTTTTTACTGTTGAACAAAAATAAAGTATACAAAATACTGTTTTCAGCTAGCATCACTAGTATCCATAGATATTTTTAAAAGTAAATGCCCAACACCACATTTAAGTACGCGTTGTAGAGCTATACTGTTTGTTTTTTTTTAATACTGTCTGTTTTCCTTCTCCGACCTCTGATATACTTTATATTTTGAAAGAAAAGTTGGCAACCCTAAGTGCAGTATCCTTTGGGGGGTGATATGTTTTATATCTTGTGGGCTTAGGATGTGTTTTCCCTGCAGTAAAATGTACACAATGACCTCACATACTGAAAAAAAATTATTTATACGCAATATCTCCCAAAAAAGAACAATAATATTATCCTCAAAAAAACAAAAGCCGAAATGTCAAGCTGGGATTGCTCATGTCCTAACAAAGTTCGCGATTAAAGCCCGATTATGTTCGCAGTTTCAAAAAGTATGTATGCTCTTCATCGGCGAGGCACTAAGGCGGTAATCGCGCTGTTTTGGTTTAATGCAAATATGTAGATAAGAGAACTGCCGATCAACCGCTCATTTATCGGTATCTGTTCCTGGACTAAAAGTGGTGTCAACAAGGCTGTCGTGTAATAAAAATGTTTGGAATGTTTAACTACCTAGCTCGCATCAATACTTATGACTAATTTGTATATTTTAAAGACTGTAAACCCTTGAAATGGAGGCTGACAATAGTGACTGAGTTTCTAGCGCTGCTTCTTCTCAGCACTGGTCCATTTATTGTCCCGAAGCAGTGGCAGGGTTAATATTGGGACGTGTAAAAGTGCTTTTTAAAAGCCTATTTGCAAAAATAAATGAGTTTTAAATAACAAAAAACAAGGTTGTAATGTAATATTGTGTTTTGTGTAGGAGTGGAGCGTGTGTGAAGCGCGCGAGCGCGGCGCGGGTCTGGCGCTGGTGCTGTCCAGCAGTTCTGAGCTCGAGCGCCTCATCGCCGCCGTCGAGGCTGCCTTCTGCGCCAGGACCGTAAGTTAATAGACATGTTGACACCACCAGTCAATTGACGTACTTTTTAAAACTGTCAAAACGAAACTCTCCCATAGATTTTGTATGGCACTACAAGCAAGTGACGTCACTATTTTGTCAACTCAATTAAACTACTTTTTTCAATTACAATGCGACCAAAAATCGTAATTTACAGTTAATTTAAAATTAATTAAGTTTTTAAGACCAGAATGAAGGGTATTTTAAAAAAAGTTGTGGTTTCGAATTATTGGGGTATGGTGTCAAACTGTCTATTCTTTCAAAAGATTTGCCACACTGGATGCGGTCTCCGGTCAGGCCAAAGTGAACGCAGCCTGCCATCAAGTATGAACAACATTAATGCGTTAGCTACACTACTCGTACTCGTTTCAACGCTTCGACGAAGTTAACGAAGTTCGTAGCGATATCTACATATTTGCAACCTCGTGAATCCAGTTTCTCAGCTGCCATTGCAATATGCAGAAGTGCTAAAGATAACTGTCGACGGGAACCGAAGTTAAACGGGTAGAGTCAGACGATTCATAGATAAAGCCCGGTCTGTGAGCACGTAGAATTTTGTCCAATGACCTTAAGCTACTCATCCTTATCGCTCGCGCGTAATTATACTGCTGTCGCGACTGTGTGACGGGCGCCCGAAGTGCGTGTGCGAGCGCGACAGCAACATAATTACGCGCGAGCTATAAGGATGGGTAACTTGGGGTCATTGGACAAAATTCTACGTGCTCGCAGACCAGACTATAGATAAAACACTAAAGTCAAACTTAATATTTGCAATGCCACAAGAGCTCACACGCCTCTTGTAATCCATCAGGTTGTAGTTTATAAAAAAGAAAAGTCTAAATCATTCCAGAATATTTTTGAACTATCCTATTACTACTTATCCTAGAAATTATTTATTTTTTCAAGAATGGTTTCTAAAGCTAATTCTTATTTCCAGAGCGAGCCATTCCCGCTGAGCGTAGTGGAAGCAAGCAAGTCGGCTTGCAGCTCGGCACACAGCAAGTACGAGGCGGCGTGGTCGCACATGCTGCCTGCACACCAGTAACATTCTTGGAGGGGACTTGTGGTCAGTTGACGTAATTATTACTATTCACAACAGGACCTAGTGGATGTAAACCTTTATAAAGGCACCGGAGATCAATAGCCTATGTCCAGCCGTGGACTGCTATTCAACTACTAGTGGGCTACTTATCAACTTCTAATCACCGTCAGCATTAGAAGCGCCTAATACAATGAACAATAAAATAGAGGAGTAAAATACTCACGAATTCGTCAAATCAACATCTTAGATGGAATCTGCAGAACCAAGGCAGATGCACACGATCAAGAAACGACGTAGCCGTATATGAAGGCCACCCATATGAAGATGAAATACTCCATTAGGCGATTATCACACTGCACCGCGCTCCGCCGCGGTCCGCGTGGCTACATATAAAGAATCCCGCGCGCAGACGCGTTGTCAGTGTGTTGTGCCGCGCGTGTTTTCTATACAAACTGAGGTACTTGCATACAATGATTGAATCTTTCGTCCCGCGTACCGCGGCGGAGCGCGGTGCAGTGTGATAATCGCCTTACTCTTTACATTTGTGATGAAGCGTTTTATGCAGTTATATTTAATACATAATTTGATTCACGTAGTCTATACCGTCACAATTTGAGTAGTAATAATTATGTCAAATGTTTGTCTCATAGTTATTTGGGCAGAGAACTCGAATCGTACGCATAATAATTTGTTTCTTTTGTATGGGATACTAAAAGTTTAACACAATATTAGTTTACAATTATTTTTAATCATTGGTGTTACATTATGAAAATAAGATTGGTTAATAATTTGGAATCTCTCTATTTATGATCATTACATAGATAAACTTTTAGTATCCTATGAAAAAAATTCAACTCGGAGTTGATTTTGAAAGGGTGAAGGGGAACCATGGTTGCTGAATGCACAACTTAGTTAAAATGTACTTTAATTATTATAATTATTGCTTATCACGTTATACATAATTCACTTATGTAAAACGTAGTTAGCCTAGCAGCTGATATAGGTAAGTAGGTTTCAAGATTTCTTAGAATTAGGTCACAAGTACTCCATAGTCATATTATAATACTCGAGTTATATATTTGCTTGTTATTGTAAAATCATATCCACATTGTTGTAAGTCGATCAAAATTATTATCACAAAATATATCAGATTCAATAGGAAGGAACTTTTTAGTTAAGGGGTAAATAACTAAGGCGTATCGTGTGTAAACTGCATATAAATAATATTACGTGGTTAGATAATTTTCATGTAGGCGTAAAAGTCGTAGCCTACTGAATACCGCAGCGATGCGTATGGGTGAATGAATTATTTTGTATATTTGATTACCAACAGCAATATGGATATTTTATTGATTTATTTTGTTGTTCAACGAATGTTACGTGCAATCCTTTATATTATACAAAAATACTAATAATGATATTTAATATGGAATGTATAATTATGATATCTTAATGGCGATAGTAATAAAATCTCGTAATGGATTAATATGTATGTATATGCCTTGCCAAATTAGGCTCAAATTTTTCAGTTGATTTAAAATTATTAAAAGTCATTTTAGAGAACTGATGTCTTGACATTATTGGATTAGATTATTATCTATCAACCATTCATACTCACAAAAGAAATCATTTATTTGTTTCTAATATAGAGCTCTAAAACCGGGGAGATTGCATTTCCCTATGTGTAGTCTATGCAAATTAATATTATTGTCCACGTTTAATAAAACGATGTATGTAGTTATGTATTTATTCGTATAATAATATGCTTCCTGATACTATACAGGGTGGATGATACAAGTTGGCAAACACTTAAGTAGTTCAGAAATCTTTTGAAAATCTGTTATCGGAAGTTTCCGAAACGAGTTGGAAGATTTTTTTGTTGTACTTTTAACAGTAATCTGTGTAAAAAATACAATAACGTACAATAAAATACCAATTAGTAGAAACCAATGAATGAATGTAATTAGCAAAACAAACTACTCTGATAGAATTGACAGTATGGTGTACAATTTTATTGTGTACTAGCTGACCCGGCGAACTTCGTACTGCCTTATATCAATCTTTCTGAGAGATTTTCTTTATATTTTTTTCCGTAAAAACCTTGTACAGAGTATTAGAAAACTACAAAAAAAAAATCAGCCAAATCGGTCAAGCCGTTTTCATGTTATGTCGTGACAACGGAAAACGGGTTTCATTTTTATATATATAGATTGATGTAACTAAAAATTATAAATTCTCCTTAAGTTTTTGCCAACTTAACCCTTTCACCGTTTATTTATTAAACTTCCAATTTTATTATATTTTTAAGGGTCAGTGGGCTGAGTGTGAGTTTACATCAATAGTCCTCACTAGTGAGCGCGTTAAAAAATTAAATAAAAATTTTAGTTCTTGAACGTTTCCTCTAGAGGCGCTGTACAATCCGTCATACATTTCGTGTAATTTTTTTACGCGCTCACGCAGTGAGGACGTTTAATGTAAACTCACACCAAGCCCTCAGATATCGCGGAGGCTTATGTATCGTGGAGGCGCTATTCTGAAACTTGTTGAGGAATTCCTTTTCTGTTTCGTCTCGATAGAAACTTGCGCACGTATATCGTTACTGAGCAACTTACGTGCTGAATCGTTGCCAGATCAGGAAAACTTAACGCAATTACAAGTTTCACAGAATAAGGCTGAATTGTTCGGGCGCGTAGCTTGTAGATTTTGTACATGGACAAAATTCAATTTGTACCACGAACCTTTTGTAGCTTTAACTGTTTTAAAGCTAATTTTAATGGTTTCGTTACTTTAAAAATTAATTTCAATTAATTGGCATTTTTTGGCGTTTAAACATGTTGATCGGAGTGTTGCATTAGTCCTTTTGGCTGCTTGTTATATCATTCATATTTATTCACAATGGTTGTCTTTCTATACTAGCTGTTACCAAATATATCAATGTATTATAATATCATTTCATATGTGTATTAGGCCACTGTAATGGCCGTGTGATATTAATGTATGTTAGGATAGATTCTAGTTGATTGCTCGCGGGACTTGTGTATAACTTTGTAAAAAACATATACCTCTTTTCATTGTATTTCACCGAGTGGTAAAAATGTCAGTTACGCAGTTATACATTTGTGTTGCGTTAGTGTAATTGTAATGTAAAGTTGTATAGTTTACAACTCAGTTCCACATCTCAGTGTTTATGTTTTTTTTATTAAGTTGGTGTCTCAAAGGTTATTTTACATTTATTTGCACCAGTGAAATATTTTGTACCAATGTTTTTACCTTATTAAGAATCGATCATTTATCTAATAACTCCTTTGATATTATGAGGTTAACCCGTGTATAATTTAATTTATTAAAATAGATTTTTTTTATCTGTAAAAGGTATTTTTTTTATTTTTGTTGACAAGGTTGTACACCGTTTTACTGCCTTTATGCACTGAGAATGTAATATTAATTTGTTTGATTGTTCTCCAGGCTTATTGTGTTAGTGTGTATGCCTGCCTTATATTCTATTGTTATGTATCTGTGATTAGTGTCGTTTTTAAGTTTCGTTGTCGCATAATATACAATTGATGTTTTAACTATTAATGCTATCGTTTAGTTGAGAACTATTTACAAAAACTGTGGTAAAAGCGCTTTAGGCCGATTTATTGTCTGTTATATTAATCCGTTGGTTCAAAATGTGTGTTGTGTTTGTTTCTATCAATACTAAATAATTTATCAAGCTATCCATTTGATAACCAAATATTTATTTAATCTCTATACAATTTATAGAAGGCCTGGCCACAAGTAATATAGTCAAAAGCTTCTTGCCTGTCTACTATAAGATATATTTATATTTTTTGAAATTTAAATTATTAGCTATGAATTTTCATTTTAAACCAATTTAGAAATTGCTGTAATCAATCAGACAATATCTTCCGTTTGATTTGTAAAAGCGGTAGCTATGTGAAGTATTATAAAAACAATAATAATGTTAATGTCATGCTGTAAGTTGTAGGGGCTACATTTAAATATAATCGTACATTTACATATTTTAAATAATGTTATTAAACTCCATCCATAGTTGCAATAAACAGTGTCTCATCAAAATGCCAATTACAAAACTAAAGTACTTATATCTTCGAATCTAAGAGGTATTTTTGTGACTTAATTATTCGAATCAATGAAAAATCACTTTCCCGTTTTGATGAGCCACTGCTTATAATCCTGTAGTAAACTTACAATTTTCTGCCCTCAACTGATCTCAAATACAACGTTCTAGAATTCTAGATCATTCTATAAAAATACTGCTTACATTATTATTCATATAAAGGGTTAATAAATATTTGCGGAAGTATGCCTTGGTTTTATTTAAATCCTAATTAAATTCCTAGAATATTAGGGCATCTAATAAGTGCCCTTTTGTGTGATGCGGATTTCGGCACGCGTGCGTATTTAATTCGCTTTTCAATTTCATTATTTCATGCATATTTGTCCTATTACGGGCTACACGCATGCGGAACGCGGATTGGCTGCGGGCACACAATACGAAATATTTGTCCTGTGCGCAACCAGCAGCGTGATTTTACACGCACGTGGACCAGATCCTCACGAGTGCCGAAATCACTGGAAAAGGCACTAAAATATTAGGACATCTAATAAAGCTACAGACATTATTGCAATGGTAAAAGAAAAACTTATTATTTTCGAATTTTGGTATTGATTGCATCACATTATGCAATTGCTAACAAACCGAGTAGAAGTAGCTATATTGTTGTAAATAAGAAGTTAATAGTAAACAGGTTGAAATGTCGCGGATGCCGACGTGTTTGCGCGGACCAGTCGTCATTAGCATACTGGAAAGCTTCCTTCCAAACCGAAGCGACGTAATAATTAAATTCCAGAGTACTAATTGTCATTAAACTGTTGTTTAGGCACATGTTTTCTTCTTAACCATATACTAAATATAATTTATATTCAATGTCTTTACGCGTGATAGCACGATCACTACGAGTAGTACAAATATTTCGGATACTACACGACCTATCTCCAAATCTCTATCTCTGTACCAAAACAAATTAAGCATAAAAGTGAAAATGATGTTCACATAACCGTTGATAAGATAACAGTGTTATAATACTGTACCAACTCGAAACGTAGGCCTACAGTGTTTTTTAATTCTCCCATTTATATCTTAATAAACATCACGTTTCATTTGCATACCAGTCTTGTCGGGCAAGATATAGAATAAACAGGGTATAGATTGTGTGCCGGTGGGCACCAGTCAGTAGTGCGCTCCCGGAACACAGATCGAGTTGTATCTAGCGACATGTCCGAGTTGAAGGTGAGCCTAAAGCCTAATAAAAGTTTTATTTATAAGGTTTTTAACCCTAAAATAAATCTTTTAGTAGCGG